TTGCTGTAGAGAGAAGATACCATGCGTTCGACGGGCGTTGATTGGATGATATCACACTACGATCGGGCTTCGCCTTGCGCCTAGGCGCAAGCGACAAGAGGAAAGGCACTCAAAGATAGAACGCCAAGGCCACAAACAAAGCCAGCAAGGAAAAACAGAAACAGCGGCCAGCACAACACAAATGAAATGAACCGACACGTCTTTCCCGTGCAAGGCTTTTCCTGTCATGCTCACGTTGAGCATCAGCACTGCGAGGCTACAAAAGTCGCTCCAGCGATCTACCGCAATCTCCTCAAACGTCCCGTTCCGGCGAGCGGCCCGCTACTGAGGTAAAAAACGTGGCCGGCTAGTCCGGAACGTGACAGTCGTTTCTCGAGGGGCCTAGTAGAACGGCAGGGAGAAAATAAAACAATGTAGACCGGCAGGAATCCCGCTCCCCATGGCCATTTTCCGTGGAATGCATCGTTTGTGCCGACGGGGTTTCTTCCAATGGAACGTATTCGTCCGTCCTCCAGTTCCGGCCGGCGTTGGTGTCGCTCCACGCCCCAAAAACCAACCCAGCTCCTTACATGGTATGGTCTGGTCTCACCACCACATTATCCCTCAAGACGAGCTCAGCCCCAACCCAACTCAGTCCGGACTGGTGTGGTCTGGTCTCACCTCCACCATCTTCTCCCTCAAGAGGGCTCCGCCGCGGCCCTTGACGAGGTTCAGGTCAGGGTCCACTTCGTCGGCGCCGTCGATGGCCACGTCAAGTACTGGGTCAACGCAACACCGACAATAATGGGCAAATTAGCCCACACACACAGACAAGAACAGATCATGGCCTTTAGAAGGGAAGCATCTTCTGGTTTTCGACCCCACTAGAATGATGTATTTTCATTCGTCAGCCGGTTAGCGCGGTAGATGTCAATAATAATAACACACGCGAGCACGCGTGATGGGTACCATAGCAGCAGCAATGATAATCAAGCCCGGGCGGGGTCGTCGTCTTCCTGAGCTTTAGAAACAATCGCGTTACGGCCAACCACGGTCAAAGGTCGGCCACACGCTGTAAGGCTGCTGCATATGGTACAAACATCACAGGACAGCTGCGGTGTCGAGACTTGACACGTGGAAAATAGCACGTACAGTATGCATAAAATGATGTAATACTGCATGCGAATGAGTCGAAACAACGTACCGGAGTGGGTGTCGAGCGTCACGAGCGGGATGTCCAGGGACTCCGCCTGCTCCTTGGTGCGGATGGACGTGGGGATGGCCACAATGTCCTTCAGCTCGCCGCTCTTAAGCAGCTCCCCAAGTCGCTCCACTGGTTGACAGCAGAGGGGGGCGGGGGTGAGTGGCAGCGGTCCCCCGATGGGGGTAATGATTACGCATGACAACTCTGCTCAAACAAAGCTTCGTGCAGGATCCCTTCAAGCAAGGGTTCGAGGAGGATCCTTTCAAGATGGGCTACCAAGCACGGGCAAGTCTGCTCCGACGAAAGTTCAACGCCGAGGACGATCCAACCCAACGGCACAACATTCCTTCGGTGGATAAATGTATTTATTGTTGGTGGGTGTTTTCTTTTAGGTTTGGGGCATTCATATGAACTTTCAGGTTTTACGGACGCAATACAGCAACGGTTACAGAGACGGCGGCAACACCTCTTACCGGCGAAGGCGGCGGTGGAGCCCGTGCCCAGGCCGACCACCATCCCGCTCGTCACGTAGTCGTCCACCGACTTGTACCCCACCTGCCGCAATGAACAACGTACAACAGGTATGTTAGACGACGGGGCGCGCACGCAACAAAAAACAAATCACAACCAGCGGGAGAAACACCACCAATCGTTCTGGGAAAACATTCTGCGGACAATTGAAAAACCGGGGAGGGAGGGGGGGGGAGGAGCAGACGCTTCACAGATAGAGGCGGACACAGGTCGACATACAGATCCTGCAATAGTCAACACAACCACGTGCATAGTCCACGTCAAATCTCCCACCCCCACTCCCCGCCCCCCGGCCGCCCGCTCCGACGTATCAACGTGGGCTATAATAACGCAACCCCACGTCACGGAACCCCCAAATATGTCGGGGGTGTAGGTCAGCTGTGTGCTACGGCATTTACACCACGCCCGTTGACAACAAAAAACAAAATATCCCCATCCAAGAGGGTGTGTACCAGGATGCGGCGACTGTGCGGCGACCCATTTCGCATACGTCGCGCCAAAAAGGGGACACACTTGATCTATTGATGAGCACCACATCGAAACTTTGTCAAGAGTTTCGGGTTCACAATATTAGGGGAACCCTGCTTGCTGTTGCTGCTGCTGCTGCTGCTGCCGCCGCCGCCGCCGCCGTTCACTTACGCAAGACACGAAACAACGAAAATTGATCACCCTTGTTGATGCACTCTAAATGACCCCCCACCTGCTTCTTGAGCTCGTCCTGGGAGGCCATGCTGAGCACCGAACCTCTGCCGGCGTTCGCCGATGACCGCACCGCCGACGTCGGCAGCGAGGAAGACACTCTCCACGCGCTGCTGCCGGCTCTGCGAACGTTCGAAGGCGCTAACACAAACCCCTGCGTTATTTTCCGACGTGATCATCATGCCAGGAGGGGGATGGGGTTCAGTTTCTAAGGTTCCGGGGGGGGGGTTAGTCGGGGGTACAAGGACGGGCGTGGGGGTTATCCGTTGGGGTCGGCAAGCGTAGGTGAAGCCTGCGGTCCCACAGCAGCGATTTCTGAACAACACACAACCCGAGTACAACCCCTCATCTCCCTATTCTACGTATCGGCGCCTCGAATTGGCGTGTACCGCGCGTCCTAAGCCCGTGGCGAATCCGAGCTGTGATTGTCGTCGAAGCGGCAACGGTACGTCCAATACGAAAGAAACACAAGATGGGAAGCTCTACAGCGCACATGGCCGCGGGGCTGGGTCCAGCTACATAGCACACTTTGGACTAGCAAAGAGGGGCTATTGCCATGAGTGTCACCATATAAACGTCTCGTGCACAAGTGACGAGGTCGGGTGACCCGTAGAGACGTGGCGGCTTCGGGGTGTTTGCCCAAGTACTTTAAGGGCCAGGGCGCCTCTCTGATACATGAAAGACAGTTGAGTTTCCCAAGCGCTGCGGGTAGAGCGCCTGGGCACAACCCTACCCGGCCTCAGCCGCGCAAGGTCTAACCGGAATCAGGCGTGCCACGTTTGCCTTGGCCACCAGCTGCGGGGACGTTCGGCTGGCCTTCTTGGGGGCATCAGGCGAATATCCTCTTCACGAAGAGCGTAGATCTTCTCCTCCTCAGCACGCAGCCAGCCATTGTCTCCAGGGGGAAGACGCGAGGCGTGGGAGATAGCTCCGACAACTCCGACCCGCTGGAGAAGTGTGGCTGGCTGCGGGACGAGGATGAGGCTAACAACGCTCTTCGTGGAGAACTCATTCGCCTGTTCCAAGAAAGCCGGCCAAACGTGCCCGCAGAGGCGGTGGTGGCGTGGCAAACGCCGAAAGGCGGCGTCGCCGACAGGGCTAAGGCCTAGAATACGGGCGTCCCAGGTCCTCTACACTCGCAAGATTTGGGAACCCTGTGACTTTTTCCGTACAGATGAGCGGTGGAGGCGTAAAAAGGTCTACTACCAAAGGGGATCGATGCTCGTCACTCGCACGTTCGGCCGAAACCAATGAAACACGGCTTCCTGAATCAATGCAGTGCGGCTTCTTGTGAGTGCTCTTGATGCTACCTACGGGCAGTGCGTCACCTTTGAACATTCAAGAACCCTGGGGTTAATGTTCCGGAAGAAAACGAAGGGGTGTTGTGGATATCGCTACACACACACACAATGTCTCGCAGAAGCGACGTGTCGGGTGAACTCCGGTCTGCCGGAGACCTACATACCTGCGGGGTGTTGCCACAGGCGGGGTACAGCTGTACCACCGGTGGGCCACACTGAACCCGCCGCGCACACCTGGCGTGACTCCAAACCTAGCTACTGTACATCCCAACCAATAAAATCAATGAGCCGCGGGGCGCACCCGGAGAAAACGGTTTCACATTATGAGGCGGCGTCCCATCGAAGCCGCTGCCGTCGTCGCCGCAGTACAGCATTATAGAATCCACCTCTCGGCCAACACCAAAAATGTATGTACAACTCTACAGATAGATAACGCAGGCACTCACGGAAGCCGAGCAGCAAGACAATGCCACGGTCACCAGGGAGATCAGCTGCATAGTTGTTCTTGGCGCGATTCGGGAGAGAGAAGAGGAGGGGTGGGGGGGAGGGGAGGGGAGGGCACCGCCGTCAGGTTTGAATGGAAACCCACGCGCGGCAGGTGCTACATGTAGAAAAAGACGAAAATAGGTCGTCTTCATGACCAAGAAGGCTTTGCTCGGAGACGGGAGAAACTTGGTTTATCAGTTCCTCCCAATGAGTCTTTCCTCTGCGCGCGCGGGGCCCACGTTATTGCCGGTCAGGTCGACTTTGCGAAAAGTCCCCCCCGCCCCCGTCCCCGACATACAATCGAATACACCGCCCCCGCCCCGTTGGAAACATCAGGTACGATGCATATTCGCATGTAGGCTTGGAAGAGGAAGCTTGCCGCGTGTATTGTGAGCGTGGTGTAGTGATTGCCCACACAGAGGTGTGCACCATAAACGGCACGATCGAAAGTCGATTACAGCGGCAGAACTCCTTTTTGCCGTGCATCCATATGGATATGGTGTGTACGTCCAACTGAATATTACTGCCGCGCGGACAGCAACGACGTACATAGCATAGTCCTTTCCGGTTTCTGTCGCAGCGTCGGAAATCGTTCTGAAACAGTCAACCGGTCTACTACTGTGGGTTGCAATTGCCTAAATTGCTAAAACAACCAGCTTTCCACGCAGCGGAAGCAAACGGAAAGAGGAGGACGACATGACTCGCCGACAACAAACCGGTCGGTCAAATCACAGCAGTCGTTCACCCGATTGGGCAAACGAGCATGGATGTGCTGCACAGCAGTGCAGGCGTACTGGTTAGCCGATCCACTACTACCCCTGCCCCGCCAGCCAAGCAAAGCTGTCGGGCCATGGCAAACGTGGCCGTTACGCGAAGGCTTGCTGCATGTTGACCATGGGTTCGCATGCGCCCGATGAAAACAAGAGAGGAGACGGCCGAAACAGGAGCGGCGTATCTTGGTTGCTACGCACGTGCGCAGCATATTGTATGGCATTCCGATACATATGTGCGGCGATCGTAGGATCATGTTTACCGGCCTTTTCGGAACCGGCAGGCACATCTCGCCAGCCGTGTACGCTCCTGGGGCGTCTTCGCTTTGTCCCCCTGACCCCTCTCTGGAGGGACAGAATCCCACGGGTCACGCGTCGGTCGGTCCCTCTCCCGACTTGCACATACACGGAGATGACGGAAAGAGTCTACATGTGTCATAATCCCACAGGTACGGCAGTAGCGTGCCCCATCCACAAAAAGCAGCGGACCGATACCCGACCCTGCCTACCCCCCCACACGCGGCCAAGAAGCAACGCGTCACCCTCTCACCCCTTCGTCGGTGTTGGTTTCTTGAGCTGGGTTGTTGCGAGAGAGGGAAGAAGCACGGAGTGGGTGTCTTTGGTGTTGCTGGAGGCTACCGAGAGCAGAGCCCCCCCCCCATCCCGTTCGGTTCTCTAAATTCTGACGACCCCCCAAACTTGACCTGCTGTCGGCATGATGAGCAGGACGAGGACCGACACGGGCTACCGACCTACAGCGGCGGCGACGACGACCATGGCGTTGCCAGCCGGGATGGGCCTGTCCGCTGCGGCGGCCGCGGCCGGCTACTCCTACCAGAACTCGCCGTCGGCGCCACAACAGCAGCGGCAGTTGGCGGTGACCGATCTGCTGCTCTCTGGCGGGCAGGAGCACTCCGCCAACAACAGCAGCGCCGCCGCTGCTGAGGATGCCATGATTGCAGGAGGAGGAGGAGGTCCGTTGGGCACTTCCCCTACAACCCCGACTGGGGCTATTCACCTCACGCGCTCTGCCTCTGGTCGTGCTGCTGCTGCTGCGGCCGCCGCCGCCGCTGCTGCTGCCGCCGCTCGGGATTCAGGAAGAGCGATGCAGCAACAGGCCATGCCTCCGCCGCGGCCAAGGTGTGTTTGTGTTCGCATCAAAGTAGCAAGTGCAGCAGATATGTACGGTGCTGCTGTAGATGGGAAGGAACGGTGTTCTCACGGGTTGTGTCTGTTTGCTAGGGGAGACGAGGGCCAGCATGCATGGTGGTGGCAGCAACAGCTTCATGAGAGTCGTAACACGGCAGTACTGGTACAGAATACTGTACGTGCAATTAGGCGGGGAACAGGAGAGCTGTTCATCGTCGAGGGTGTGCGCGTGATTGATGTATCTTGTGGGGGAAATAGTGTGACCTATGTCCGTATCTGTTATTAGGAAACGTATCTCTCCAACGAACACCGTCTGCGGGTGCATCGCCGCGTCCCATTGAGGTCGTGCCTCTGCTGTGGCTCTTGTGGGGGCACGGCAGTTTCACCGCTGCTGTACAACCGGCAACAACTGCCGTGTAAACGAGCATTTTTGAAAATCGGTCATGATAGGGGAGGGGGTGCCGCCTCTCCGCCTGTTACGGCAGTTGCCGATCCGTGCCACCCCCACCCTCCTTGGGGGAGTGCTTGCGACAATGAATGCAACGAAATGCTCGCCTTTCGTCACCACACCCACCCACGCCCCCCCCCGTCATCTGGACAGAGTCATCTCGGTGACCTCGCCGCCGCCCCCGGTCCCCCCCCCTTCGATCATCGCCGCCGTCGCGGACCTGCGGCAAGGGAGGAGCGCCGTGCTCCCTGGGCGGGGGGCGGGGCTGCAGGCGGCGCTGTGCGGAAAGCGGGGGCGCCGAGCGCTACGGACGTCGGAGGGGCTCAGCGACGAGGTATGTAGTTGCTGCTGCTGCTGCTGCTGCTGCTGCTACTGCGTGACGTGGGCGGCGGCGGGGCTTGTGGGGCGAGGGCTGGAACCGCCCCCCCCCCCCCCCCAAGCTGCCGGGCGGTTTTTCTGCGAGGATCGTCGCGTTTTAATGCTGGTCGCCTTGGGAGTTACCATGCTCGGCGATGTCCTGCGTAGATGCATGCCAACCGATCGAGAGCCTGCCTTGCTGAGCAGTTGCGGTTGGTGTCGGGGGGCGGCAATTTCGTTCGCTCGCTTTTTCTGGACAACCATGCGGGAGGTGGCGAGAGCTTCATCGGCGTGTTCTCGCAAGCCACTTTTAAACAGACGTTTCCCAAAACCACTTTTCACGGCATCCCCCTCCCCCCCCCTTGTTGTTGAGGAGTACTATACAGCAGGGGAGTGTGGTTTCAATGACGTGTAGAACTCGGCACCTGAGCGGCTTGCTTGCAAGGGGTGATTTCTGTGTTAACATCTTCCTCGTGCGCACCCCGACCTGCTGTCGAGACATCGGGCATTTCCCAACAACAACAACAACAACAACAACAACAACAACATCGTAATTATTTTGCGAAACCGAAAGTAGCAAGGCTTGTCGGAAATATCGTCGGTGATGCATCTGTTTTTTTGCTTGATGTTCCTGCCTGCCGGGCCTCTGTCTCCGTCTCTGTCTCCTCCCGAAGGTCAAGAAGCGGTTCCCGCGGCAGGCGGATCAAGCGGCACGCCTAACCGACGTGGAGGAACAGCTGGACAAGAGGATCAACAGGGTCCGACGAAAGCTCCTGTACAAGGTTAGAATAATCTGAGAGCAAGAAGACACGCGCGTTCCAAAAACATGTCATGTTGATGTATACAGCACCAAGTGTTTGCCGGCTTGTCGGGAGGGAAACGGGCGGGCGGATGGACATCCGGCTTCGGTGTCTTGAAGATATTTGTTTCCCTCGGCGTCGCAGCGGCGTTGTATCAGTCTCTGTCTCTTTCGTTGTTTGCCTTTGAGGCTCGACCGACGCCCAACGCTGAATCCGTTCGAAATCTGGCTCTGATCCTTCGGAACATTGAAGCAGAAGGAGGAAAACGCCCCCACCCCTGCTCTAGGACTGATGTGTACAGGGGGAAACGCTGGCCTCGTAATGACAACAGAGAGGTTGACGAGAACCATCAGGCGGGGAAAGGGAATACTTCCTGATTGCACTCGAGCGCACAACGCTTGAAACAACAGGCAGCGGAACTGTGACTCCATTTTTGGACAAGAATCTCTCGCAGCTGTACGCTCCGCCCAAGATGATTTTTTCGGTATCAATGATCTCTTCCGACAGTAGGCCTGCGAACAACGTGAACCGAGAATATCCGGCTCTCAATGAGTCCCACCCCTTCCCTCGGCCCTCATCTCTCTGGCGTTGCCAAATCCCACTTTCACCGGCCTGGATGAAAACCAGACGATTGCGTTTTGTTTCGCCTGTGTGAAGGACGGAAGTGTCCACGTTTTCTTCTCGCGGCCCTATGGTGGAGGTTTGTTTCCCTGCTGTGTTGATGCGCCAACCTTGCTTCCGCCCACCGTGGTGTCGAGGTCCTGGTGTTCGCGCTCATTTTGGGCTGTTCTTACACATACCAGTAATAGGTGACTTCCTGTCCCAAGTTGTGTCGCCTGGCCCTAAATGTGATGACTTGACCCCTCCCACCCACTCCTGGGTCCCCCCTTTTTTTGTGCGTGGTGTCGGCGTCACCCCCCCCTCGCGTGCAGCTGGAACAGCTGGAGTGGCCGTCCAAGTGCCTGCGCACGTGGCTGTCGCTGGAGGTGACGAGCGCGCCGAAGCCGGGGCAGAGACGGCGGCAGCCATCGCCGCAGCCACGGCAGCAGCAGCAGCAGCAGGCAAGGCCCGGCGCGGAATCAGGAAAGCAGGGGAACCGGAAGGGGAAGAAGGGGAAGATGCCGGCGACGGGCGGAAAGGGAGCCGAGGGCACGCCGCCGCCGGCGTCAACAGCAGCAGCGGGAGCGGCAGCAGCGGTGGGAGCGGGGACAGAGCAGGAGGCCGCTAGCGTGGCGGCGCTCGAGGCCAGCGTGGGAGAGTCGGCCGCTGCTGCTGCTGCTGCTGCTGCTGCTGCTGCCGGTCCGGCAGACGACGGCAAGAAGGCCCTAGATGCGGCGGCGGGGGACGGGGGCGACGTGGAGTTAGAATGGTTCGTGCTGGCCAGGCTCCAGGGATCGTTGGTGGGCGCCCCCGCCGACGGCGTGCAGAGGCGGTTCACTTCTTTCTTCTCGAGCGTGGCGTTGGAGCTGGACGGGAAGGCGTTCCCGGATGTTGCGGCTGTGGAGGTGGGTGGGGCTCTTTTTTTTTTTTGCAAGACTGCCTACGCAAGAAACTATCGAAAAGAGACCAGGGAGGGGGCACGCAGACCCTAACGCTTAACCCCAAAACGTTTGCCATTTCTATGCTTTTCCAGTATTTTTGCTACTAAAGAAAGCCCTGCGTAGACTCCTTCCGAACGCCTCTTTTTTTGTGCGTCTGTATAACAGGAGCGAGAAGGGCGTACTCCGTTGCAAGCGTTGCTGAAAACGTGACTTTAGCGCCGTTTAGTGCTATCGAGGTGTGTGTCATGTTCAGGAGACGCGGTTGTGGCTTTCTCTTGCACCTATTCAAAAGCTTGATCGTTGTAAACTGCCTTCTTTACTCTGCCACCATCGCTGAGATCATCGTCCCACTGTGCTTCCCTGCCGTGTGTTCCGTTTGCCGGGTTCCGCCGCCGTTGTCCCCGCTCCTTCGGAAAATTATTTCTTCCTGCTCCGGAAAATTGCCTCCTGCTCCGGAAATGTCTTCCATTCTTCCGCTTAAATTTATCTCCCCCTGCTCCTTCTCCGGCAACAACGTGAAGTGGGTGCGGTCAGCGGGGTGCGAGGAGCTCCACTGCGTCGAGCTGCGGCTGCCCTTGGCCGGGTGCCTGTCGAGGGGGCTGAAGGAGATAAGCGTCAAGGCGGTGCTGGCGGCGAGAGTGGACGAGGACAGGCCGCGCAGGTTTGTGCCCCCCAAGTCTTGCCCCATACGTACGGCCCGCCACCTTGTGCCGTACTATGCATAGAGGGTAGAATATTTTTCATGCTTTTCTGTGCCTCAAACGCGGGGCCCGATTGCCCCATACGCCCGCCGCTTTGTATCGTAAAGTAAGATCAGAATGCTTTCACGCCTTTTGTGCGGCAAATGCGTGGCCCCATACGCCCGCCACCATGTGCCATAGTAGATACCAGAATTTTTAATTTGTTTTTCCCCACCAAAGCTGCATTAGTGCGGCAAATGAGCTGCGAATGCCCCCCCTCCCATGGTCCGGCGAACAAAAAACGGCATATCGCTCCGCTCCCGGCATCGCAAGGATGCGAGGTCAATGGTCTATAACGAAAAGGGCATGCGTTTACATGAGTGCACCTTGCACCCCCTCCGCTTCCCTCGTTTTCTTCTGCCCAACGATTGAGGTGGTAGGGCTTAGGCGACGACTCCTGTGGTGAGCCCTGCCTATCCTGTGCTGAGTTCCGCTTCCTCCTCTTCCTTGTGTGTGTGGTCGGATGCGGTGCGGCAGGTTTGTTGTGTCTGCTCCTCTCAGGCAGGTCCTCCGGCTGACCAAGCGCGTGGACACCAAGCCGGTCCTGGTGAGACCATCACTCCGCCGCCGTACGTGTGTGTTTTTGTTCAGAACGCGATCAATACGTACGACGTTTTGCGATGCAAGACGGGCGGTTTGTTGTGTTTTCCTTTGTTGGTCCTCCTACCAGCGTCGGTGCGTAGCTTTGTTCCCTATGATCAAGGGGGTGTCGCGTGACTTTTAACCCTTGCGATGGAGCATGGACACGGACTGTGGGTGCAGCATTCTCGAGACACGCTGACGGAGGGTTTTCCTGAGTCTGTGAACGGCTATGGGTAAGGTGTGGTCGACGGTATCTGATTGCGACGATATCACTGCGGAATTATCGTCGTCGCGTTTCGCATTTTGTGGAATTGCTTGCCCACTTCTCAACCGGGCGCCGACGGACGCTTACGTTGGGACAGCTGTCTGGCCACGCCAGCGTGCATTGAATGCAGCATAGCCCATTTGTTTTGACCCCATGTTTCCAACATCCTCGTCGACGATGTATCCCTGCCGTGTCCATGACAACAAGATGGCGGCTGTTTACGAAGCTTTGCGGCTCAAGGGCGCTCTTCCCGGGGGCACAAGAGCAGCAGCAGCGGCGGCCGCCGCCGCGGCAGCAGCGGATCCAAATGGTGCAGGAGGTGGGCAAGGCAGTCACGGTGGCGGCGGCGTCAGCGGTGCTGGCGGCGGGACCATGCTCCACTGCGACCCCGAACTCGCGGGGGTTTTGGGCGCGTCGTCCTTTCCGTTCAGCCAGCTGGAGGAGGCCCTCGGTCCCCACGTAGAACCCGCCGAATCGCCTTCCTTGGTCGCCACAGTCTCGTGAGTAGAACCCGCCGCATAACATTCCTTAGTCGGCACAGTCTCGTGAGTTGAATCCGCCGCATAACCTTCCTTGGTCGGCACAGTCTTGTGAGTAGAACCCGCCTGGTGTCCTTGCTATGTTGGCACTGTCTCGTTGAGACGGACCCCCCGAATCATCTTCCGTTGTCGCGGCAGTCCCGTCAGTAGAACCCGCCGAATGTCCTTCCATAGTTGCCTCAGTCTCGTGAGTTTAACGCGCTCTATATGCTCCCTTGGTTGCCACAGTCTCGTGCGTAGAACTGGACGAATGACTTCTTTAGTTGCCACAGTCTTGGTGAGTAGAACCGGCCGAATGTTCTTCCATACTTGCCACAACAAATATCGTGAGAACTATCCGCCGAGCCCCCATTCCTTGGTCGCCACAGTCTCGTGGGCCTTTGTCGAGGTCTGTTGTGTCCCGGTCGGTGGTTGCAGCAGCCGGCCTCGCGGTTACGTACTATTCTTTGTGTGTGTGTGTTCACGATGTGTGTGGGATGAGTTTAGCCGTTGAGCGTTGGTTGGGGTCCCTTTTTTTTTTTGCCAACTCCGACCCCGCCGGCGTGTTTGCGAGAAGTGTCTGGCCGACTCGTCACAAATCCCCGCGCTCCTGCGTGGCTCCTCAGTCTACGCTGGGTTGTTTCTTCCTGCCCGCAAACAACTGTCGACGTGGTGCGTTTACAAGAAATGCCCCTTTTAGTTTACCGCCACCACCACCACCACACATGCATATCCACACCTCCACCCTCATCTCGATACCTGTCGCTTGTCTATGGCGACAACACACTCAGGCTGGAGAAAGGGAACGCGGTGGAAACGTGCGCGGACGTGACCGTTGACACCGAGACCCCCTTTCAGCTCCGGGCGGCGCAGTCTCTTCTCGGCAGCGACGGCGGCAGAGGAGCAGGAGGAAGCGCGGAGGGAGCACCCCTCCGACAGAACGGCGGTGAGTCAACCAATCAGCTGCAAGTCGTTCGTTGGTTGGTGGGGTTCCACACCCCGCTCCAGGCGCATCCGACACCCTCCGCGTTCAACCAACCGACAGTACGGCCTTTGATGTTGTACTGCGCCGCTCTCGCCTTCAAACGCTCTGGTGGCTGTTGTCTTCGTTGCAAGTGCTTTTTGGTCGTTACCTGTTGCGGCTTTTTCTGTTGCTGCTCCATCGCCCCCCCGTTCAGCCACCAACCGAAAACGGCCTTGATGTTGTGCTGCGCCGCTCTCCCCGTCCGCGCTTTGGTACCGTTCCCCTCGTTCCAGTTGGTTCGTTGGCCATTGACCTTGCTGCCGTTGCCGTTGCTGCTGCTGCTACCTCTGCTGCTGCTGCTGCCGTGTCGGTAACCGGGTCGCCCGCGTCTGGCCTTCTTTTTTTGTTCCTCCTCCGCAGCCGTGGCCGTCGAGCAAAGGGCGGGTCTGGGAGGGGGGCCGGCTGAGGGGGGAGGGGGGCACACACGGGCGCTTGGGGTGCCTACTGTGGAAGAGAGAGAGGCGGAGCTCCAGCTCGGCCGACAGGTAGATGTAGTTGGAACGTGATAGCATGTAGCACCATCATGCCGGCGTTTTTTTTTTCTGGCATCGAGATTGTTTTTGACGTGAACATGGTTCGATGGAATGGTGTGCGATTGTGCACGTCAGAGGAGTCGGCTGTGTGCAAGCGTTCCAGCTGGAAAGAGAGCGTCCCGGTGTGTTGCCGCTGCTTCCCGTTTAGATATCGCTTCTACAGTAGCTGCAGCATACTTTCTCGGTGAATGGTGAACATCTACAACACGCGATTTTGTGCTGCACAAGGTACATGGCGGCATCCACTCGTTGGCGATTTCTGATGACCTTTTTGTGTACATCATCAAGGGCTTCCAACCAACGTTGCTTGTCAAGGAATGCCAGCTGCGTGCGTTTCCTCCCCCCCCCCCCCACGTGGCCTCCACCGGTGTCCTTTGCATTCGTTCGCGCGAAAGGTTTCCTACCTTGCGGAGGCCGTGAACGCCTCCGGCAGGAGGGCCGCGATGCTCCGAGCCCTCTCCGAGGCGCCGTTGGAGGCCTTGCAACGCCTGGGTGCACAGATGCAGGCCGACGAGGAGGTGTGTGGGTTTTTTGTCACCGTTTTTGTGGCTTTCCCTACAGTACCCCCGCCACTCCCCACCCGCACAAGCGTATGTACGACAAGGTGTTAAATTCTTTTTTGAGACATCCTGCACCGGGGGCATGCCATCTCAAAGTTTTTCACGCGCTCCCTTGGTTTTTGGCAGCTCTTGGCGGCGGCTGCGGGTGTGGAGCGGCCTAGGCGAGAAGGGGAAGCGGAGCCTTGGTCGGATGCCGGCGTGTGCGCACGAGTGAGTGCCTGTGTTTTATCCTGCTATCCTGTGCGCAGGCCCTCCCTAGAGTACGTTTTCTCCTCTCTCTCTCTCTCTTTTTTTTTGTTTGTGTACGCTGCTGTGGTATTCTCCTGGCACTGCCGTTGCTGTTGTCGTGATTCACGGTGTATCTCCTGGAAGCATGGGTGGAAGCAGGCGTGCTGCGCGAGTGTTGCTATCACGATATCGGAGGTCCTCAGGGTCCGAACACGAGGTGGTTGGATTAGACAAGGAAGAACCTGTGGAGCGGCTACGAGATACTCCAACGCCGGAACCTCTGTGCAAGTTGAGCAACGGCCAAAGCGAAACTACTGGCTGTGCTTCCGGTTTGCTGAGCTCCCAGTTTTCCACGAAAACGGGGGCGTTCATCAGCCAGTCCATCGTATTAGTAGCAGTGAAACGACGCCGTAAGCACATCTACGGGTCGTCTTTCTGATTTCGCCGCCGTTGTTCCCTCTCTTCTCACCTTCGGCCCGTCCAGGTGGTGCAAGGGCGGGCGGAGGCGCTGAGGAAGGAACAGATGCAGCAGGCCCTCGAGGCGGACATCCGGGTCAGGGCGGAGCAGAACGCCCTCGCCGAGGACGCGGCCAAGGAGAAGGAGGCGAGGGCGGCGGCAGCGGCGGCGGCGGCCATGGCCCAGGCACAGGCGGCACAGGCGGCGGCGGCGAAGCAGGCGGCCGAGCGGGAGATGATTCTCCAGCAGCAGCAGCAGGCGCAGCTGCTGCGCAGGAGAGAGGCCCAGGTGAATCGAGTGATGTGTAGCTGAAAAGTGTGTTTGTTTCATGTAGCATACGAGTTTTGTTGGAATAGGTGGGCCACAGAAGGGAGGTGGGGACGAAAGGATCTCGTGGGTGGCCTTGATGGCCCAAGCCGCTGCGCGCCGAAAAAACCCATCGCAAGGGTGTGACAATCGACTCCTACCAGAGTAAAACGGGATGGGACGGTGGTGGCTTGTGACATGCACCATACGACATCCGGGGGGTGGGTCTAGCGTGTCCGCTAACGACCATTGCTGTGCTGTGGGGTTTTGCGAGATGCTCTTACTGCAAGCGGTGTCGTTTGTACTCTGGCGCGTTTCGACGCCGACTGCAGCAGCTGTGCGCAAAGCTGTACCATGTTCTACACAGTTGAGCTCTTTGGAGAGATTCGTGTTGTCGTTTCGGCGTTAAGCCGAAACACTGGTATCTGTTCAATGTTCGAACGTGCCAGCACACTGAAGCGACGTTGCAAGGCGCCCTGGCCGACGCGATCCAGCGACCGAGGCGCAGGCAGGGCGTGGTTCTGCCTAGAAGCGACGGGTGGGGGGTTGCCCCCGCTCAAGTGACGAATCCAGGAGGCCTCTCGTACGTCATTGTTTTCTGAGCGGTGTACATGTGCCTTCGCTGCTCTCCTTCCCTCATCTCTGTCGTACCTTGGTGTGCTAACATCTGCTTGCAGCTACAAGAACGCGCACTGCTTGAAGAGAGAGAGGCCAAGCGACGGCATCAGCAGCAGCTTCAGATGCAAGAGCAACAGGTACCGATGACGGACACTCGGTTCTCATTTCTGGTTCTTTGGTGTCGAGATGTTGCGTTTCGGTGTGCATAAGGCGTCAGTCACGCCCTCTCTCTCCGCTTCTGGATTACGGAGTAGTGCCAAGAGAGCTAGCGTGGCCCAGCGTCCTCCGTTTCATTCTGTGATTTCGTGACCTCCAACAGCAACGATAGTCCACGTATAAACGGTTGGCGAACGGCTGTTGTAGCTCGTTCCCTCTGCCCATCATCTGTCAACGGTCACGCAAGTCGTTACAGTCTACCTTTGCGGTGCATGGCATGACGTGGTGCGAGATGGACTTACCATATTTCGCTACGGGCGGTCGAATTGAATTTCGCGCCGGCAGTGGCGTGCAGGTGGCCAGATGCCGTCATGGTAGCCCACATCGTTGCATTCCCGTGGTCATGATCGCTCAGTCCGTGTCCTCCCCTTCGTCTCACAGCGACAGGCTCGACAGCAGCTGCACGCAAGCCAAGCGGCAAGGCTGCAAGCAGCGGGGGGTGTCGGTACGCCAACGGGCGTGGCCTCCGGCATGCAGCAGCAGCAGCAACAGCAGCAGCAGCAGCAAGGGGAGATGATGTTCCACACGAGACTGCAGCAGCAGCAGCGGCAGCAGCAGCAGCAGCAGCAGCAGCAGCACTACCAACAGCTCCCGCCCTCCCGCCAGAGCATTCCGTCTCCGTCCCTTTCGACGGGCAGCCATCACTCGGCCGTCCGCGGTGGTGGTGCTGTTGGTTCTAGCCCGATGCCGGGCGTGCCGCCACAGCAGCAGCAGCAGCAGCAGCAGCACGCCGCTCTTCCGTCATGGCCAGGCAGAGGAGGAGGGGGGCAGGCGCCGCCCTTGTCCCCGACCTCGTCTCGGGATGGAGGAGGCATGTCGTCGGGGCAGCTGCAGCAGATGGCTCTGCCCCCGCTCGGGGACGAGCTCGGGCAAGGTCTCCAGCAGCAGCAGCAGCATTTGCACGTGCAGCAGCAGCAGCAGCACCAGCTCGAAGAGAGGGCGGTCGGGATGGGTTCGGCGGCAGACGAGCGAGACAGACAGCTCGAGCAGACCTTGCTTGAGAACGACGCGGATGCGGATCCTTTGGCGGCGGCACAGCGACAGCGACAGCAGCGGTCGTCGCTGCTGTCCCCCCATCAGCAGCAGCAGCAACACAGCCGAGAGTACCAGCAGTGGCCCGGCGCCTCCTCTGAAGGTTACGCACAGCACGGTGACCGAACACGACGTAGCGATCAGCAGCAGGAATACCGGAATCAACCGCCGGGCGGTTTCCGCAACGACGGTCAGAGAGGGCTCAGGCAACAGGAGTACCTACAACAGCCTCCGCCGCCTTCGCAACGGCAAGAGCAGGAGCAAAGAACAGCGAAGCACGGCGTGTCAGAGGAGGCCGATTGGGCACGAGGGCCCCGATCGGAGCAGCAGCATCAAGAGTCGAGCGGCGGAGAGGAAACTCAACGGATGCTGCTGCAGCAGCGGCGACGGCAGGAGAACGACCCGGACAATTCTTCCTACGTCGCGTGGCAGAGTCAGGCAGAGCGCCGGCAAAATGATGTGGATCGAAAACGGCCCTAACAAAGAGAGAAAATACAATGATTTTTTTTTATATCATATGCAGGAGAGATTGATGGGTTTCCCTCTAGCACTCTGCCATGCCATGAGTACGCGCTGCAGCAGCAACGACTGGAATTTCGATGGCCAGCTGCTGGGTGGCACCAAGGCTTCCTGCATAGAGAGCGAAAGCAAAGTAGTGGTGGTAGTCTTTTGACTTGCATCTTTCTTGCTCCGAGGGGTCCTCAGGGACGATGGAGAGTTGAAGGTCTTCTACGCGACTGTGTTGTTATCGTACGGCCTGGCCACAGCTGGTGCTCAAAAGGCTCGCGGATGAGTCGGCAACACAACTACAGTAGTTTTCTGTGTCCGGAGTTGCTGTACAGGGGAAAAGATCCCCCCCCCTCCTGCACCGCGACCCCCCGGCGGGGCGCACTTTTCGAAATATAACGACCAATTGTTCCACGGGTGTGTTCTCTGTAGCAGTACGGTGTTCCTTACCGTATCGATTTGTCCCGTGTCGTCGTTTGTGTGGGTTCTGTACCTGTCCCCGTAGCAAAAGTTAGAATTGAAGGTGTACGCGGCGAAGATTCGCTATATTAGAAATAGATGTCAAAGAACAACCATCTTACAGTACCTCGCTGGTCAACCGGACTGTTGACGCCGATAAAGGAAGTGTTCGACACAAGAGTACCGATGCAGATGCATTTGCTGCATACAGCCCAACAATAAATTTCCCACATGATTGTTGTGCGAGGATTTTTTGTTGGCAGGAGAAGTGATTCAAACATGCCGATGTGTTGGAGACGGACCAGGTTGGTTCCAGGGGTTCATAAGTCATGGGGGGACTCGTAAGCGACGTCAAGAATTGTTGCTACTGAAGGACCACAACGAGAGTTCGGCGAGCTGCGAGTACGATGTTGTTGCTTTGACGGCATTAGATGACGCACCCCTAGGCGTGAAGGCAATGCCGCCCAACGGATTGGACGTCTCACGAGACGTTCACTCGTTTCGACGAATATTCACACAGAATACCTAGAAGTTGGGCTTTGTTTCGTAGTTGGGTGTTTCGTTCATTCTTCGGTCAAGGCGCAACCGTCGATACATGAAGTCCCATCCGCCGCCAAATGGAAACACTGCCGATCCTCGAATCGCCGCCGATGCTTGATACGCCTTACGAATGAAATTTCGCAGTCCCTTGTTGTGCGACATGATTTAACACACGACATATATGCATACACGCACATACATCCGACGTGCGACCCCCAAAGAGTACACTGCCAAAAAATAACACGCAAACCCACAAGTACATTGATCATGCCGAGAGAAGAATTGTTGCGAGACACCGGCCACAAAAATATGGGTGTGGGGATACGACTACTATAGGAGGGATGGTCCACACACAAAACACGCCCGCGTTGTCTGAAGAGTTATCTAAAATGACCGAAGGGAAGCTCTACTACAGATGGCGCCCGCACTTAAGAACCTACCTGTTAACAACATGAGGCTCAAAAAATCCAAAACTCATGAACATGAGCGTATTTTAGTGGTCCCCGTTAAGAACCTCACACTAAAACCTATATAATGGCCATTCGCAGCCTCAACAGGCAACTAAGAACCCCAGCCTCACGCAAATTAAGATGTTTTTAAGTGCGGGCGCCATCTGTACTGTATGTAGGTGTGTACATCATACACACAACGCGTGGTCCCGTTCGAGAGAATGTGTGGGCCCGCCCCCAGTTACTTTTTTGTCACGCAGAACAGATTGAGGCGCGGTGGCTACATGGGGTGAGAGACGTGTTGACGCCCACCCCTCTTCGTGGCGTAGCTGTTGTACCCCCGGTGCTTGCAAGGAGACCAGCAGTGAGGCGCAGTGTGATCCGCAGTTATGGCCCGGCATTCGCAACCCCGCGGTGACACCACCAGGGGACGGGATTTACTACGTGTCCCCCGCCTCCAGGATTGTGAAACCCCGTCCCGAAGCGGCGAAATCTTATTTCTCTCCCTCTCGCTCGCTCGCTCTCGCTTGGACGCATAGTTTAAGCAAGACTGAGGAGCGCGATCAGCGCCGTGGGGTATCGATGGAGGGCACACAGAAGCCACAGGTTATGAGGACGTCAGGAGTAGATCTATTGGTCGGCATCGCTGAGATATTGCTCGAGCTGCGCCGGGTGGTGGATGGTGAGGCGCTCTATGCGGCAGTGAAAAACTTCAGGTGTGTGCACACGCTCAGTGCTGCTGTGTAGCACTCAAGGCTCCCAGTGGGGCACCTGTGCCACATGACTCCCTATGTGAGCTGATTGGTATGGGGTGCATGAAACATGTGGCCACACTGGTGTGTAATTCTGTCGATTACGCACTACAGACAGTTTGGATTATGTACGTGGTCGTTCTCTACGCAGTCAATCCATGTACGAAGTACAAATAGAGATCTTACACATCTGTATTTATTGTGCAGTACATAATTATTAGGCATTGGCCCGTTCGGTTACCATTGGAGTATGACCGATAATCGGCTCCACGGTGGCTTCTCGAACCACCCTGGGACGCACGAACGCTGCAGTAGTATTTTTGTATTCATCATCGTCGTGAAGTTGTATGTACGACGACACAGGTCTGGAATCCGCCTGTGGCCTGATGTACAGATCTCCGCAACCACACAAAGAACCAACGCGTGCATGGCGCAACGCTTTTCGCTCTCCTGCTGACAACCCATCGTATATTATAGCTGCAGAACACAGCGGTGGTACCTTGTGCTCATCCAACGTGTCTGGAGCGAGATGGGCGGTGGAATGCTAGAGAAGACGCAACACCGCTGGTTCCGGAAATAAATGCCGGTGCCGATCGATAAACGCACTCCTTTACACATACACTGTTGCACTCTCGTGTTCAGTCGAGTCGCGATCCGGAGACCAATCGGTCCTGTAGCGTACCTCAGAGACATCTCATATGTTCCTAACATGCCATCACGTGGGTGCGGTCTCAAAATAACGGTGCGTTAGCTGCTTGGTGTAGGAATCAGGTCATGCCAGATCCGATAGCAAACACGCGTGCGTACGCGGCATCCAAGCAGCTTGAAAAGGCGTTCGTCGCATAACAATGCATGCTTCCCAACGCCCCCCAACGGCTGCATCACTGTTGATTTCCTGCGTGAATTGCAGGCGCTGGAATCGCTTGGTTAGAAAGCCGCTGGCAGTGAGTAGTTACTCGCTTTCCCCCCAGCAGGCGGAGGATCTGCTCGGCCCGGTGGGGATGCCGTCGACCCTCATCCGGCGCACCTTTGACGCCTTCGCCAGGCGCCGACAACGTTCCTGCTCCTGGTCGCGGGCCCGAGGGGAGGCCCCGGGACGGCGGGTTGACGCCCTGGAGCTGTTTTCCGGGCTTGCGCTGACCTGCAGGGCAACCGTGAAGGGCAAGCTGTCGCTGCTGTTCTCGCTGTTCGACTCCGGCGAAACCGGTGTCCTCACGGTGGACGACCTTGGTGCGATGATTTCGTCTTGTGGGTCGTTTCTGCGCAACATAGGACTGTGTCTCCCGATCTTCGGCGACGAGGCCGCTTTTTTTGCAGGAGGCGCGTTCGGCCTAGAACAGGGGCGGATAGTGGACTCTTCTAGCAGTGGGCTGGAGTGTGATGCCGATGAGATAAGCCTGCCTGTCTTCCTAGCTTGGGCGCAGCGGGCGGAGTTGCCAGCTCGTGCTCTGGAGCTGCTGGCGTTACCGCATCGGCTTTCGAGGACTGTCGATTTGCTCTTGGCCAAGGCTGACTCAGTGCTGCAAGAACGATATGTTCCCGGGAGAAAAACTACGAAGTATTTCTCGAAAGGCATCGAGAATTCGACGGAGGAATGTTCACCTACACGTGTACCGACGCCATTGACCCGCAAAACTGTTCTGGAACAGCAAAAGGTGGGAGAAGACAACCATCGGCGGGAACGCGACGTCAGCTTTGGCCAAAGCCCCCTTGTGCTCCCTCCAGTACTGTGCGGGGTTCGTGCCCATCTAGCCCAAATTATGCTCGAGGTAGGTGCGGGCAAGGCACAATCCATTGACGCGTTGCCTTGGTCGTTTGCGGTATCAGTGGAAGAAAGGAGAGGGTCTCGCTTCTTTTCCGTCGATTCACAATCGGTTGCTGTTTGTCGTGGCCTGCCTGGAATTCTTGTGCTGTCCGAGCTGAGAGCGGCGACAGACCATCGCGTGAAGATTTCTTGGGGCATCGACGACGACGCTGAAACCCCCAAGAGTAAGGTGGCACTGCGTAGCTTCCACGGTGACCAACACCGCAGGATAGAGTGTGCAACACTCCGATTTACCACACTCCCAGAAGACGCTGTGGTGATCCACCCGGCCTCAGAAAGCAAAGAAACGCTTCCATTGAGGCAGGAACCCTATCTAGGAAAGAGCTGCACGATCCTAGCGGAACGGCGATGCATCAAGCTGGTGAGTGTATCTGCTTGCTGCCGTGAAACAAAAGTCCACCCGCTTGAAGCACCTCAGCTTCCTGTGCCTGGAAAGTCAAGCAAGTTGACAGACAACTTGACTTCCAGAGAGAGCGTTGCTGTGTTAGTCGATTACGGCAAGCGTACCTCTCTGGAGTCAGCCGACGACAACCACGCGGTTGATCCGCGCTGGATAGCTTCGGCAAGATCACGTGACAGATCGAGCAACGAAATGGGCTCTGATGTGCTCATGGAAACATGGCCGCTTGGATCGCCACGGAACGACCACGTTCAAGTACCCCCTGCTGCCGCCCGACGGGCAGATGTGCATGCTCCCACAGCCGTCTCCGACGTTGCCCCCTTCAGTGGGACAGTCTTGTACCAAACGGAGGCATCCGGAGGAGAAGCGCCTCATAGCGAACCCTGGGCTAAACGAGGCGCCGCCCTGTCGAGTAACGTCGACCTCATCGTTCACCTCAGTCCTGACTGGCGGGCGGTGCAGGTTGTACGGCGGTGCTTCCATATGTTGGAGCAGTGTCGCTTCCAGAGTCCTTCGCTTAGGGAGGACGGGCGACGCATGGTTTCTGCTGAGATCAACACGGCCGTCAGATCTCTTCTGTTCAAGAGTGTCCGCGAACAGTCGCGGGAGCAGGATAGGGCGAGAAGGAGGTGTGCCCACATGATTCTGGGAGGCTTACAGAACCCTTGGCTGGGTGTCAACGAGGTGAGGTGGCGTTTCAAGAAAATGTAGGTTGCTTCACTGTGATCCTGGCTTCAGTGTCTTTTAATTCTGGCATGTTGATACCAAGCAGGTCCTCATGTCGGCCACAGCGTTCTCTCCGAGGATTCGTTCTGACTATGAGACAACAGACGGCACTTCCTTTTTCACGCGTTCTACCTGTCCGGACGCTCGCCTCTTGCCTCAGGATGAACTCATGAACCACGACGAAAGCCATCGCACAATCGTGCGCTCTGAAGTTGAGTTGGCCTTGCAAAAGTACGTCCCGAAGGATGTTGCGGATGCCGGGGAGACAATTGGTGAGGGCGCGGATGTACCACCACCAAGGGCGTTTTCAACCAACGGGGGTACGATGGCCATCGGCGGTGGTTGCTTCCTGATCCGCCCACCCAAAGTACCGCTACAGGAAGGCGGAATATCATCACCTGCTCGAGACGAAGTGGAAGCAGCTCCTGGAGGCACCGATGCGCCTTCAGGCATTGCGGAGAGCGACCGCCATGATAGTACGGAAGAGGAGAGTGTCGCAACAGCTTCCGCTACCGCTGCAGCGGAAGATAAGGTGACTGCTGTACTCACCGACCCTCAGCTACCCCTTGCCGGAAATGACGTTACCCACTCGACGGGTAGTAGCCGTACTCCTCCGGACGTGACCTCCAACACAGCCATCTATGAGGGCGGCCAAACGCTAGCCAACAGCGACTCATCTGCCACAGGTACAGCGGGCGACGGGGCTGGTCCTCCACCACGAATCGGTCCGCTGCCGACAGCAACCGCCTTGCATGGTGAGGCAACGCCGCCTCACACTTCTTCTACAGAGAGATCTCTCGAGGGCAATGGCAATCAAGAAATCGATTTCCAATTGGCAGTCTCAGCAAGCCGCAGTTCTGCCGACAACGATGGGATCGGAGAAACCGATGGGCACAGCAAGGACACCTTGGCCCCACAGGCAGTGGCGGAAAACGCAAAGGAAACCCCCTCTCACGGTGATGCCGTAACTGATGAGGCAGGGGCTGTCGTGAGTGCAAAGCCGGGTGTATCAACAGTGGAGACCGTGGTGACCTCGAGTACCAACGGGCGGGCATCATTCGCCATCGATGATGCCGATGACTCCACCGAAGCTAAAAGCAGGAAATCGCGGGCTTCGCACGAAGAAGCGGCGATCGCAGTAGTCGATGGTTCAGACCAGCAAGTGGGAAACGGGATTACAGCCGCGAGGGATATATCGGAGGAGAGAACAGAGAATACAACTGCAAACAGTTCAGCATCGCCCGCAGTAAACACCAGGGAAGAGAGCAAGATGGGTCTGACGGCCGACGGTTGCGGAGGAGACGAGCCTGGCGCGAAGCAAGACCCAAGCTTGCAACAGAGCGATGGAGCCTCCAACGAAAGTTGCTCTAATCCCGCGTTGAGAGGTCTCCTTCGAGACATGACTTGCGCTGCCGAATCGATCGCCGCAGCCGCAAAGATCCCCTTTACACGAGGCCAGCAACGAGGAGCGACAACGGTAACGTCTGGTTGCACGGCTATTGTCTTCCTAGACGCTCCGCTAATAACCCCAGGTCTCCAACCGCGGCGTCGCTTCGCCAAGAAGAAAGGCCTGGGCTTTTCTGCAATACCGACGGAGGGGGCGTCGCTTCCTGACGAAGCGGTTGGGCGCAAAGCTTCTGTTCTCCAGAGCGCGGCGGTCTCAACCGATGCCACTGCCACCACCGCTGCTACTGCTGTTGCGGAGTTCAAGCGAGGTAGCGGTGACTTGAACGTCGGCACCTACCCAGCGGCGGAAGCTGCCGTTTCCGTCGAACCTCTGGACGATGGTGATACACACAACGGTGACGGCGCCGGCTCCTCCGACGAAGAGCATCCGGCAGGGCTGGGCGACCCAAGTGAAGTCCTCGAAGCGCTTCTGTCTTGGACAGAGGAAGGAGGTTGCTCGGTGGGCGGTCACAGAGAGGTTCTCTTGATTTGTTGCGGGGGCGATGACGCCCGGGACAATGACAAGGGTGACCGGAACGCCAATGGTGTGGAGAACCGACAACGATCGGTTGACGATGATCCTGGTGGGGCGGTCAAAGGCCAGGAGAAGAGCGAAAGTGAAGAGAGCGCCCATTCTCATCTGGATCAGGTCCGTCAGAAATTGTTGGACGATGGACACGTTGCAACAATCAGCGAAAACAAGGCAGTGGGTCGAAGCAATGAAGAAGCTAGTAAGCTTCCCAACAATTCCGATGGTGGTGTACAGGGAGAAGAAGCCGCAGAAAAAGGTGGTTTTGGTGGTGGTAGTGATGGTGGTAGGGTTAGTGGGTGTGATGGGAATGCCAACGAGAACCCCTCTTCTTCCAGTGAGGACGAAACAGCGGACGACGAGCCAACAGGTGTTATACGACAGATTGTCCTCGGAAGAAAGATCCCAGTCCCCATCGGTCCTCAGCAGCGCGTGCAGGGCCTGCCTATAAGTACCGAGGCAGAGGCAGGCGCGAATGTGAAACGGCGAAGTCGCGATGAAGGCGACTCCATGAAGCACAAGGTACCCGCGGCAGCGGACAGGATGAGAGGCACCCCGAACAACGGTCGAAGCCCGCCCAACACCATCGCGCCATCGACACCCACTGGGCTCACGCCGCTGCTGCTACCCCTCCCTCCATCGGAGGTGTTGCTGCAAACCCGAACGGTTCCAAATTGTGAGGGCTTGTCCCGGTTGGCGGTGGCGTTTCGTCCTCCCTCACCCGGCACGACTCCCGCAGTTTTCCCACCGCAAGAAGAAAACGAGAAACGATCCTCGGAGGGAACACTAGAAGGACATCGTGTTGTACCACACCAGAATGTTCCCCATGTGGAAAAGGTGCGAGTACTAGTCGGCCCTGTGATCGGTCGCGTTGGTCCTACCTCCGCCGTGGTGCTAGTTGAAGTTGGCGCCAAATGTCCTGTGGCAGCGCAAAGGACAGCCGCAGCCGCCAGGCAGCGGCAGGGGCTCACCGACGCTGACAAAACTCCGCCGGAAGACGATGTAGGGGTGCGATTGGTGGACACGCTGACCAGTGAAAGCAGGGAGATGTTCGGGGGTAGGAGGACCGGGGGGGAGCCGGGAATTGGCCCTCGAGTTTTTGAGTTTGAAGGACTCACGCCTGGCCGACGGTACACGCTTCGGTTGTTGGGAGTCCGGCAGCATGATCAGGTGGGTGAATGTGTGAATGTACATAAGCGTTCGTTTCGTTTCGGTGCGCATATGCCAACTGCCGCAGGATGCCACGAAATGTATGTCGCGCAGCTTTTTGAGCGACTCTCAAATGAACTGTAGCATTCTCGAAGCGAAGACGAATATCAGGACGTCTTGTGACGCCTTGGTGAATAAGATTGGGAACGTCAAGGGATTTACCGCCCGAAGCAAACCCATCAAGGCCTCTTCAGATTTACATCATGCTCTTGAGATGATCCTTCGGAAATAGTATGGCGGTAGGTCGTAGTACAACCGATTAAGTTCACTCTCAGCTGGATCCTGGGTTAAGAAAACTGGGAAATATATTAAGTAAGACCTCCCGCGTTCTCCACACTTTCCTCGCTTCCGCCCCGTCCCACCGATGCGCTGCTACCACAAAGAACAGATCGCAAGAGCGGGGGGGTTGTGTACCCCGCTCATAGACGAAAGTCCTCCCGCGATGTGGGCATTGTCACCGCAAATCGTCCCGAAGGAAGCGCTGGAGGAGATTCTGGCCGATGTCCAAACGTCGCGGCCGACGGCAACAGCGAGGCTCGCCATCGGCACCATGGTTGGTCATTGAATTCTGAACGTTGCCAAAAGCTTGACCTCGTCATAACTGTTCTTTCAAGCTAGAGTATCTCCTTGAAACTACGTGTCCTAGGTATGCCAGTCACACCTCTGGTCGAAGGAGCTGCTTTGTAAAGACGCGCATCCCCCCTGCCACGTTTCGGTACACTGGTTCATCGTTTGTGTTCGTTGCGTTCCCCCCGAACATTTACACACGAGAATAGTTAACGATAGATGGACAAAGTTCGCGCCGGTCTGTGGGGGGAGGGAGCTCGTCCTGAAATGTTACGGGAGCGGGAAGTGCAACAGAGACATGCGAAGTAAACGCCAGCGACCTTCGTCCGGTAAACCGTATCCCTCGAGTGGCGTCGCTGCTAGTGCGGTTGCACATGCTTTCTCTTGTGTTTTTCTGGAGGAACTCGGAAAATCATCCGACATGTCAGTGCTGTCATAGACACCATTATTCAACCGAGTTCGATGAGGTCGAAAGAATAAACGCCATTAGGCAGAATCAACGGCTTGCACGGATTGGGACAGGATGCCGCACACAAGGTGCGAACGATGTCATCTCACGGAGATACCTTTATTGGTCATTCCACGCCGGCTCAAATTTGACCAACGCCTTTGTGTAGTATGCGTCATTGATGAGAAGACTCGGATTTCGCGCGTGTTCACAGGTGAATGCTTCGAAGATCGGCAACGCGCTTTATCCGCTGGTGATGGCGGAGAAGGGATCGGAATCGAGCAGGCCCGAGGGGGTGCCTATCGGAGTCCGAGCGCTGAACGCTTTCCGCGAACTGTACCGCCACACGTGGAACGATCCACAGGTTTGTGGGTGTGTGAGAGAGACAGAGCAACAACGAGGCAGACTAGGATAGACAGAGATAAAGGAAGACCGGCAAGCAGACAGAGGGGGGGATGGGGAAATCCTTTGCTCTTTCGACGGTGAAGAAACTCGCAAGACTGCGGCTTGTCCGAAAAAAACAAGAGCAAGACTGTCGGAAGATCCGCTTCACATTTTCTGCGATGATTAACTGTAAACACTACACTCCGCCACGCGGTGGCTTCGAGCGGTCGATTAACCGACGTGGTCTGGACAGACAAATTTGTCTCGTCCGACTGCATGCCCAAAACGTAACAAGGTGAACCGTTCGCCAGGAGAATACGTCGTTCTCGTCGAATCTGAACTTGGTTCGTCAAGGGTTGCGTCGAATCTGAACTTGGTTCGTCAAGGGTTGCATCCCGACCGCCTAGGGGCGTCAAAACAAGCCAGCCAACCAGGCGAAGGTCGAGAGAATTTTTCCGTGGGCTACCACAATACCGATGACAGCCCTCCATCCTAATTTTGGAGAACGGTGGTGTGCACACACAGAAGTGTGAACGAACCCGACAAGACTTTGTGTTTATTCTGTTTTGGCCATTCCGACGTAGCTCACATTTTTTCGCGATGTCCAGCAAATGTGACCATCGTTACTCCCTCCCTCCCTCCCTCCCCTTTGACGTCTCGAAGATGCGCAAGTTACTCGCCAATACCTCCACAACGCCGTGCTCGGTCGGCGCCGGCGACCTGCTGCTACCCCTGCTGAGAAGGTTTCCGTCCGGCTGGCTACCGCTGCACTCCGCCCCCGTGAACCCCGCGTACGGAAACCTCAAAGGCGCCAGGGCAAGGGGGAGCACAACAACGACAAGAAAATGGAGCAGAAGAAGAGGCAGAAGAAGAACGGTATTGACGAGGGAGGCCAAGGAGGTCTCGAGGTGCCAGCACGAGGGTGGGGGTGTCGCGGGAGCGCTGGGAGCCGTGGCCAGGGCCGCCTTGCAAGCCTCGAAGGAGTACCAAGAGGCGTTGTTGGGTGGTTCAGCGAACTATGGCGGTGGTGGCGGTGGCGGATTTGAACGCTTCAGCATGATTGCCCGGGGGGGGAGCGCGTGCCGAGGGCCCCTGCCGACTTTCCAGCGGTGGGGGGCTGTTGGGGTGCTCAACATTTCGGTCGCATCCTCGCAGGTTGGTTGGGCGTTCGGAGGACGCGACGCTGGGCACGGGCTGTTGTCTCGGGAGACGTGGGCGTGGCTCGAAGATTTCTTCCGGGCCCCCGAGCTAGGTTTGCAGGTACGCACGGAAACTGTGTGAGTGTCAACTGACAGCTACTGGTGATCCCTCTCCGGGAACGTGTTGAATGTTCTTCGTAAGCCCTGAAATCAAAGCCAAGGCTAGGCCAACGAGAAAGCATCTAGGTCGGACGGGTGCGAAGATTTCTTGCGACAATACGGGTAGCCCCGCGAAACGTTTCGTGCCTACCGGGGGGGATAAAAAACATGACAGGGGTGCTCTGTTGATACTCTCTAGCGATGGACGCTGTCTCGGTGCTTCCGATCGGGCAAAGGCCAGTGAGGTTGAAACGAATCATTTCCTGCTGCTGTTACTGACCTAACCAGCGCGTTCCCGATGGAGACCTCTTCATAGAATTAACTTTTCGGACTCGTACCCCTTCGACTCGAACCTCCCTTCCTTCGCATACTTGGAGCGGTTTTCATCGGATGACCTCTGCCCTCAGTATTCCTACTAGATTCGATGGAATGGTCTCGGCTCTCAATAGTAAATATTTCTACTTCATTCGATGGGCAGGAAGGACCCGGTGTGAACACGCTCATCATCGCTACGGATTCCCCGTTGCTCTGGCGGTCCGCCTCCTCCTTCTCCTCCTCCGTTGCTGCCGCCGCTGCGGCACGCGAACCGGCGGATGGCGAGGAGGACCACCATCTAGACGAAGGGGTCGGAGGACGGCAACGGATGCCGCCCGGTCGCATCGACGGCGTCGGTGCAGGTGCGTGCGGGCAACGGGACGAAGAAAGGAAACGGTCGCCGTTTTCAGATGTCTCACGGCAAGGTTCGCGAAACGCCCCTCTTCCTTCGTGGAGTGCGCATCCCCGAGAGGTGGCGTCTCTCCTTTCGCTCCTGTTTTCATGGGCAGCGGCAGACAACTACGATGGCGACAAGGATGCCCCAGCCGAGGCTCCTTTCACTACTGCCGAGAGGGAGGTGCCGGCCGCTGCTGTTGCGCCCACCGTTGCATCCGGTGCATTGAGTCCCGGTGGCTCGAGTACCCAGGGTGCATCTTCTCAGAGACGAAACCGAGCAGCTGCAGCAGGAACGGGGCAAGCACGAGGCACCCGGGGGAGGGTCTTCTCCGTCGTATGCCCCGCGACGCGGGTGCGGATGAACATTCAGAGTTATGTGAAGGACAGGGAGACCGGAAGGGTGGCGACGCAGTGGTGCCTGGCCTCCAAGGACACCGGTGAGCGAGTGAGGTGTTGTGACGGATGAGTATTGGAGTAGTTCCGATCGTCATGCTGCGAGGAAGACGAAAGATGCGGGTGAAAACTGCGGTTTCAACATCATTGAACATGGGAAACTCGAATCTGTCGGAGGAGCGCTGAGATTTTCGGGTTCCTGCGGGTATGTTTGCCACCGCCAGTGCGATACAATACTGCGGCCACAGGGGTAGCTTTATGTTTGTCTGGCGGAAACATTATTCTGCTACCGATTCATCGCCATGCTCACTAACTATGACCCCCACGGCTTTCCCCCAAATCAAGCTTAAATCTCGCTCAAATCAACAACGTTCGCCCCTCGCCAATCACAGAAATCACCTCCCCTTCTCCCAAAACCGGGTCCCCCACCACCCACCCCACCCGTTCCCTCCACATGTACCACCGCAGGCGACGAGGCCTGTATTCCCATGAACGGAAGCATCGGTCCTCGCTTCTCCTTCACCCACTACCCCCAGGCGGGCAAGGCCATCGGGCCGGGAGCAACGCTCGTGCGTCCGATTCCCGACCCGTCCGCACCGTGCGTGATGTTCCTCGGAATGGTGGCTTTGGGAGGAGGGGGAGGCAGTGGCGAAGGCAGTGGTATCGGTGGTGGTAGTGCCACCAGTGGGCCCGGGTTTGCGTTCGGTACTCTAGGACCGATTCTAGGGGAGGTCGGCACTACTACAGCGCGGGTTTTGGTGGAGGTGAGGTGGCTTGATTCGTGCTTGTTGGCTCGGAGTTCGTGTTTACTCATTTCAGAGCGTGTGGGGCTTCTAGACGGGCTCTTGATGGATCGTCCTATCGTGGGTAAAGGGTATCGGGTCGAGAGAAACGGGGGTGGGGTACTTCATGGTTCTCGCAAGACCGCTGTTCGGTTCAAATATCTTCAACTAGTGTCCACGGTGACCAGCAGCACCACATATACGCTGCTGCCTTCGTCTCCCATCGGTTGTTCAGCATGTCGTCTCTTCCTCGTACAGAAATCGACGGTACGCCCCCCGTTACTCCCACAATGCCATACACGTGCATCGCTGTTGCTTTTGCCCCAACCAAAGGTATCAGTACCCATGGAGCTGTGCCTGACTGTGCAGAAATCGGGCATCGCTAGGAACGGCAACGTGTCGCAGCCGAAGGGGCACAGGCAGCAGATAACGAAAGTCATTCGGATCGCCCATAGACCCGTCGTGTTCGAGGTCTCCGGCTTGATCGCCGACACGAGGTGTAGTATTGGACAACGCACAATCAAGCACAAGCTGCTCTGGGGTTGTTGATCTTCGAACCCACACCAGGCCTTTATTGCGGGGGGGGATACAGCCATACGCTAAAACAAGGAAGGCGCCTTTCAATGCCGGAGGCAATGCATACCACGCTGTGGCGCGATAGACCTTGAAATCACCATTGCTTGGAGCAACTGACAAATCTTTTGGCCAAACACCGAGGTGTTGCGTAGCCAACTACGGCTCATTTCTGCTTGAATCCCAAAGCCTCACGCGAAGCATGCACCGCCTCTTGTGATACGACAGCTGCGGTGAATACCATTTCGGTGTACGACGGTTTACTTGTCTACAGCTTCCGAAACATTCGCAAGAACTCTCCAAACCTCTACGCACCCATCCGACACACAATCTACCACCAAGAACGATGGCCGGACTGCCTCACTTCGACGAATGTCCGCCCGCCCTCCCCACAAAATTTCAAAAACAATAAAGGTACGAGCTCGACTTCTGGCCACTGGCGAACGCGAATGAGTTCCGAGCAAACCTCCGAACGAGGCCGCTCCGACCATCCAGCTTCAGGATAGCCGCCTTCGGCGGCTCCCGACACCCGTTCGGGTTCATCGTCCCAACCGTAACCACCACCACTCCCGCCGTTTCTGCTGGAAGACGAAAAGTCGCGAACTACAATACAGGGCGTGATATGGCCGACCCGGACAGCGGGGCCGGTGAAAACACCGCCTCTCCCGGGAAAACGCTTCTGGTGCGAGAGAGGTGGCCCTTCCGTGCATTGGAGGCCGGAGGAGGGCTCAGGGTCATTGGCAGTGGCGTTGACGGTGAGGATGCTGCTATCAGCCGCCCAGAGTCTAACCGTGTGGCTGCGGCCAAGGCTGAGTCAGAGAGAGCCTGGAAGCACGACAGCGATAGCGGCAGTGGAGGCGGTGGTGGAGACACGGCAGGGCTGGAGTGTGCGGAGGACTCCGGAGGGGGATGGAGGCATCCAGTGTCGACGGCGTTGGCGATGGGGTTGTTGACGAACGGACCTTGCCTCGAGGAGATGTCGCGCGAAAGGTGCGGTTCACCACTGACCGCGCGGCGCTCCCCTAGAGTACTTCTGATTCAACGTTTAGTCTCAGCCGTAGCGGTATGCATTTCGCTTGTGGTTAGCAGACCACACAGCAGAGAAGAGGTTACATCACAGTTTGTGCCTGCAGGAGATTTTTCTATAAAAAACTGGTCACCTGCGTCATCAAAGCAGTCAGGGTAATCATGACCTTCAATCGATGTTTTTGCTTTCCTGTAACGGCCAAATAAGTGGATCCCTCGCCTGTTCCTGCTGCTGGATGCTACCCATCCACAACCCCGTCCAGCCTATTCGGCAACGGCGGAAGCGATGCGATTTCCGTGTGCTTACGGTTCGGCCGCCTGAGCGCTTGGCAGGCCATGGCGGACGAGGTTGAGCTGCCGGTTCAGGGCCTGGACCTGATCATCCACCTAGGAAACGAGGTGATCTATCGCCGTCCCCCCAAAGTGGTAATTACGATATTTCTGCATGCACCGTGCCCGTTGAAATGGTAGTGGGCGTGTGATACACGATATTCTAGTTCCCACGGAAACATCTTTTTGGCTCGTATCCTCATCTGGCTGTTCACTTGATGAAACGAACCGACAAAACAACACATTTTTCGTCGTAATGAGGGCGCCGCCCGCCCCGTTTCACTCTGGAATGAAGCTCGGCACGCAACGATTGGCACTTTCCGGTCGTATCCTGGCGCCATACACAGATAAATGCGGCCGCCTCCCTGAACAGGGACGAGGTAGCCAAAGTCGCCGAACACTTCTCCCAGCACGCACGGTTGGGGGGGGTGGAACTCCCTTCGAAGGAGGCGGTCGATCAGTCTGCGCGGAAGGAGGCGAGCGGCGCCAAAGCCGGGCGCTCACTTCTCGTGAAACCGCCCCAGCTGCCGGTGGAGGACCCGATGGCTCTGGGAGAGAGAGATGAAGAAGATATCGCCCAGCTGGAGGCGTTCATAATCAAGGTAACGTGCCATTTGGCTAGACCCACACATCTCTCTTTCCGTTTCATTCTCCCGCAAAGAATTCCGAATATTTGTCACCTTGGCGGACTCTCGCAGTGGATCCCTGGCTTCCTGTTTTTCTCCACCGGGTATCCTAGCACGCGAGGCCGCTCATCTGTTGTGATAATCAATGGAGTAAGCTGGGGGGTCAAGAGACCCGCCGAAACTTATCATCAATAGATTCTTGGTCTACGTCTTTCGCATCAACATTTTTACACCTGGGGGTTGTCGATGTTGTGGTTGGACGGTGTTTCCACCTTCTGTAAAGTCTTGGCAATTCACGATCTCAAACCTGTCGTACAGTTCCTGTTGTATTGCAGCAGACCCTCGATGTTGTATATCAGCCTGATGGCCGAAGCCCACAGGATGGGGTAGTACCACCAAGCCAAGCAACCCTATATGAGATACCTCTCCCAACGCGTACTTGTCAAACTCTCTCCGGGATATCCACCCCAATCATGCAAAAAACACAAGCTACACGACGAGGCTGAGAAGGACCGCAAGAGGGACGACGGCGACTTCCGCCACCGCCGCATCGAAGAACCCCCCCTCGCAATCCACACGCAACTCCCGGAAGACCAAGGAAAAGAAGATGGAGGAGTGCCGTCTCACGGCGGCGCAAGTCCCGATAGTGAGAGGGGCGGCGGTGCCAGAGACAGTGAGGACGGAGATGGAGGAGGTGGTGAATGCAATGGAACCATAACCAAGCGGTTTGATGATAATCGCGTTGATGGCGTGGACGGAGCATGGGAGCTAGTTGCGGAAGAGGTGGGCACGACACGGTTGATCCGACGTGCATCGCGACAAGTTGTCCCTGAGCCTAGTGGTTGTTTCATTTCACGTCTTGACTGCCTGGCGTATCTCACGCCCACCTTGGGCCCCTTTCTTGCCCTCGGGGCGGATTTTGTGAAACCGTCAGAGCCAAAGTCAAGCAAAATGTTAACGGCGGATAGAAGGACCATCAAAGGATGGGAAACTATACATTGTTGTGTTCAATTATTACAAAATAGCAACGTTGTCGGCTAAACCTACATTAGAATGAAGTCTAGCCCGCGGTTGGTACGTGGACGTGAGTTGAGTTCAATCGTCCACAGATACCTCAGGCCGAAAAAAGAAAATATGCCAGATCAGTGATATTTCTCTGATATTCCTTGTGTTGGAAACGAGCTCCAACGTGTTTATCCAAAGGATGACTTGTCCGCGTGACCACGAGTAAGTGATCTAGGAAGCCCTCTTCACTCGCTGATATCTCTCACCGTTCGCCATGGTTCCAAGCACACGTTGACCGGTATCTATTCCAGCACGACTACATCTTCGCGGAACCTACCTCTTGCGTCCCTCACTCATATCTTGGTTGATACTGTTACTGATTGGTGTCGGGTGCACGGAACGCCAACAAATTTACCGCAGGTGGCCGAGCGCGTGCGAGACCCGTATCGTGTAGCATGGGGGCTCCCGTGGGCCAAAGCAGTAATGGCGAGTGCGCCCAATACTTTGCTGGCCTTCACTCCATTGGTGAGTTTCTACAGAAAGTCATTCCATCCGTTTCCGAGGTTCGTATGCGTGAAACGCGTGAGCACATACGTATTCGGAATGAACACCCAGAAATTTAGTGCCAGTTACACACACATGCTCGAATACGAGAGCTGCGGTGTACAAGGGAATCAACACACTAGTTTTTTTTCTGATTAGTAAAGTCATCAGTAAGGTACGAGTGATGCCCTCTATCGTGAATCCACGATCGAAGTTTGGATATCGAAGCTGACTTCGCGCACGCTGCTCTCTGAAACTTCTCCCGCGCTCTGTCTGTCTCCTTCACTCGTTCCGGAAAGGATCTTGACGACGGGTGCCAGTCACTCTCCATGCAACGCGTCGACGAGCACGGCGCTACTGTGCCGCGACAACGAGCCTCCACCGACGGCGTTGTCGATTTAGACCACCCCGCTTCCGTAGCCCGAGTTCGGGAGGAACGCCTGCGCGCCTGGGTTGAATATCAGACCGCCCTTGCCTCCGGGGGTGGTAAGACCACCAAGAAAACTCCGGGCCTCGACACTGCAGCAAGCGCGGACGACAAGGGTGTCAACGACGGCGGGGGTGGGGGCAGTAGCAGCAAGAGCGACAAGAGAGAGACAGATAGGGGGTCATACCAAGAGTACGGTGGGGTCGGTGTGCTTATGCTCGACGTGTGGGGCAACCAATCGTGGAGGCTGGACGAGGCAGGGATGGCAACGGCCAAGGGAGGCGATGCCGAAGGCCCTGGGTTTCACCCTAAGGCTCTTCTGTCGAAAAAGTGAGCTCGGAGTATTTCCTAGTTCCAGAAATTCTGTTCAGTTTGGGGGTTGATTGGCCGAGATGACCGGGGGAGAACTCGTAGCCTTCGGTAGGTGTTGACAAGGCGCGCTTCATCGATGTCGTCAAAATGTCCCGATCCTTTGGGATAATCTTGTAGCAGTACATTAGATTTCGCGAAACGGTGCCGTTTCTGTATGAAGTGATGCGCAAATGTCCTGCCGCCACGTGTATGCGCGTGTTCTCGAGTTGACTCCCCTTACTCGTTGTCCCTCACCACCTGGGAGAGCAGGCAGGAAAAGCTCGTCAAGAAGGCGTTAACTTCGTCCACAGCTAACGCGCTCGTAATTTGTTCTGGGACGCCCATGGTGGCCGAGCCCATAGTCCACCCGAAGGTGAACGACATTGAAAATATTGAGGAACTAGCTAGCATGAGGAAAGTGAAATACACCCCGCCACATCCACGGGCCTCGATCGCTATCTAGTGTCCACTATCCGGTTCAATCTTCTGTCGAAAGCTTCGCATATCGTGCAGGGCCCAAGTTTATCGTGTAGAGCATTGCGTACATAGAACCGGTGATGAAAAAACCGTAGACTTGTGGGGTTGCCCAATAGTGAGAATCAGAGCGAACCGGATTTAAAAGTGTGGTATATTTTGGGTTGAAGAACAGCATTGCTATGAGTATGAATATTCTAGGACAGAGGTGGTGCCCACAAAGGGCAACAAAGGAAAGGGACGAGGTCGTGCACTATGACCTTGCGAGCCAAAGCCGTCAAGAGATCTCCTTGCACCGAGCAAGATCGGCGCTCCTTGGCAAGAGGGATGGGTAGTCAATTTGCATTTGCAACCCAGGACGCAACACGTTTGTACGCTTTCCCCGTTCATGTTTTAGCGAACATTCATTGATGCACGGTCTACCACTTACTGCGCACCCCATCGCATACCGCGTCGCTCCGTATTTCCGAATGCCGTGCGTCCAAACATGTTCAACGCTGCCGTTGTGTACCACGTTCAATCGACTAGGCCCCGCCCTTAAGTGAAGCTGAGCAGAAGAGCAGAGATAAAGCTCTCAACTTCGCCAAGAAGGAGCTCAAAAAGCTTGGCAAAGCCGGACTGGCAGAAATAAAGAGGATGGAGGAGGAAGAAAAGGTACCAGTGAAGTGTTTGGAACCCTCAAAAGGTGCTACTCGACATCTTGCAAAACACCGTCCGCAACGAGCGCCTTCAATGGTCGAAGATTGGTGTTATTTCACCTACTCTGATATGAATCCGCCCTATGTTTTCCGGTAGCGTTATGTGATACACTGTGTGCAGACCTAGCTCAAGAATGCTTGGTAAAAGAAAATTAGAGGGTTGCCTCAGGGGCAAGCTTGGCATATGTACGCTACCAGAAGCAATTCGACGTGCGCAACCCGAACCCCCGGCTCAGCGGCAACGGAAGATATCGCAAGAGGGGAGGAGCTTGAACTGCATCCAAAACGCTTGGTCTCTTCATCATCCCAAGGAAACCCTTAACAATCGTGCGCAAGTGAAATTGCAAGCCTGTTGTGCGCATTTGCTCGGCGTACTCTTCGACGTCAGATCCCTAAACTGGCGATGTTGTCTCCGGAGGAGGTCGGTGCGATGGATGCCTTCTACGACGAGCTCAGGCCGTGCTATCACTGGAGCTACCACTCCCCGTACCTCCAGGCAAGCACCATAATGCTCAAATGAATATATCCATCCGCGTCAATGTCTAGCAGTCGAAGAAGGCGCATGATTTGTCGGTGACATTGGCGATTGTGGGTAACTGCAGTGCGAGATGAAAATTGGTCTAGAGTTTCGCGAGAACGCCACGGTCTTCTAATACCGCAGCGTAGGGCCATGTTCCACATCGCAGTGGATCGCCGTTCCTGTATTCTGAGCAGAAGTTGCTCGAGACGCTTTTCGACTGGGCGAGCGAGGGGGCCATACCCACCAAGAAGAAGCAGCCCCCGAGGAAGCGGGAGATTGTCCTCCTTTGCGGCGGGACGGGGTAAGCACACGGCGCACGGGCGTGGGCACTCCATGAGTACTAGAGAATGAACGCACCAATCCCCCGGATGGTAGTTGTCGTGATGGTAAGAGGAGGGGGTGATTGAAAGAAGCCACAGCCTGAGTTGACAGGGGAGGAAAACATTGGAATGGTGCTTCAGATACGTGGTGCGCGGGACCCCAGCCGAAACACGAGGCAGGGCTTGTTGGTATTTGATTTGCTTCGGGGGAAATTTGCAGTCGGTAGGGGGATTAGAGAGAGATTTCAGAGAACCACATCTTCGTAAAGGGCAAGGTACCACACCAAGTTTCGAAAGCCTACTTTCTCCAAGTAGAAGCGCAAGTGAATTCTTACATCACCATATCTTTCCGTTCTGGTCCGTCGATCAGATGCGGCGTGCGAACGGAAGTGCGGGACAGGCGCACCGGGATTTCCTTCACCCAGCTCTGCGTCGGGCGTGTGTCAGACTCTACGGTACCCTGCCCCTGGCCGCGGGCAGGGGGGTCCATCGGTGACCGAATCGTATTCACCCACAGCCCCATCCAGCACGTGAGCCCGCAAGAGGGAGCTTCCTCTGAAACCGACGCCCACCGACTAGGGAAGAGCAGCGATGGCAGCAGCGGCCGCAGCGGCGGCCGAAGCAAGTCGAGCTTCGCCCTGGTCACTGTCTTGTCCGAACCACTTGAATCAAGCATCACGGCGACTTTGGTCCAGCCTCCCGGCGGCGGCCACGCCAAGACTCTGCCATTGCGCTCGGCAGACATGGAGAACGAGTTGCTGGGTGCGGGTGTTGTTTCGCCACGTCAGGAACAGTCCGACGAGGAGGGCGATGGGGACGGCGATGACATGGCCGTCATCTTAGGCCCTGTGGTGGGTAGGGTGGAGGTGGTGAAGCAGTCGGGGACCGTGCGAGAAAGCTGCCGAGTCCCCGTGGTGGTCGAGGTGGACGGAGAGGGAGAGGTTACGTGCATGGTGAGGAGAAAATTGGATCTACTCATTGCTCACAGGGGGAACGGGGGGTGATAGGTCTAAGAGGGAAGCCAGAACGCATGGACGGATCTTTATCTCTTCATCAACCAAATCCGTGACACGGGGAGCAGAAAGCAGTACGTCTTCGCGCGCTGGTTGCATCTGCAGCTCTCGTCGTGACCCAACATTCGGTGACTCGTCTGTCCCGTCAGGTGCGCGACGTTGCAACATCCGAGACTTTTCGTGAGGTGCGGTGGATGAAGCGGCGACGCCCAAGAGCGTTCTGGGTGCAAGGCCTGCGCCCCGCGCGACGGTACGCGATTGAATTCGAAGGTGTCTCGAACAGGAGAGATCGAACCGGTGAGAGCTCCTTGGCCGCTGCTGGTGCTGCTGCTGTTTCTGTTTCTCAGAGGCTACTTCCTTACGTCTGAAATTTGTGGACCCGTTGAACACGGTACCACTAACGTCCATGGAACCCTGTGTAGTCCCAAGGCTCAAATCACTATAATAGGCCTGTCTGGAAAAATTGCATGCATGAAGGCTTTACTGCCGCCTTTGGTCACCTCGCCTTGCCGACTAAACTTTCTCGTTTATACACGGGGAAAGCAAGCCTGACGCGATCACTAATCGTACACCCAATGCCCGTTCCCAACTCCTTCCTGGTGCTGGTGTCCAGGCTCTCTGACGACCCCAGACAGTTCTCGTCCAGACCTCACCCTGGTGGCCGTATCTCACGACCGTCCTGGGGAGCTTCTCCCGGAAGGGAGCGAGACAAACATGTGGAGCGCCCTGGGCGAGCGGCTACGCTCACCGTGGCAAGGCGTGGAAGCAGTCCTCCACCTCGGCGGCCAAGTACGTGCTGAAAAGGGTTCGGGGGAGAGGGGCAGGGCGCAAAGCGTCGCATGTCTAGGCTTCGCGTTCATGACACCAGAAGAAGACGAGAACACAATGCAAGAGGGAGCACTCGAATCGTGTACTGAGATGCGCGAGTCAATTGCAGCGTCTGTCTTTTTTTTATGCCTCTCTTGCCTCTCCCCTCCCCAGCCCTGCACTCACTATTCATTTCGTTCCGCGTCTCATCTCCTGTTCGTGATTTTTTTTTTTGTGTTATTTCCGGCCGTTCTTGTGCCTGTGTGTATCGTCGTCGAGCAGCTCACGGGCTTCTCCCCCGGCCCCTGTCTTATGGTTGTTCTATTTCGTCTCTGTCGGTGGTGTATCGCACCTTGGCCACCTGAGGGCCTCGTGCTCTTCGATTGTACAAAATATTCCATACCCACTCTGCAACTGCAGCCATGGCTGCTCTTGAGACGATACATCTCGCTGGTGTTGCGTTTTTTTTCCTTGAGGTTTGGTCCGAGTGCGTTCTCTGTAAACTATAGAGAATATCATACCCTGGGCCGTGTCCCTCGGTGTTATTGCTATTACTACGATTTCTTCCTGTTGCGGCTGATGTGAAAAAAAACAACAACAGCTCCGGGTTCGGAATTGTTGTGTTGTCCTTGTGGCGAATCTACTAGCTCTGACGGAACTCTCCCTAGCTCGGTGGTGCAAGCTGTAGACACAAATAGTTTCTGCTTTCACAGTTTCGAGGTATGTCGTATCCAACAGGTACGAGACTGATATCGTGGTCCGACGGACACTGAAACAAATGCTCTCAGGTGGATCTCTCAAACGCTTTCGAGGACGGCAAGATCTGCCTGGAGAAAATTAGGGAACGAAGAAAAGCCGGAAAGGTGTCGGAGCGGGAGGAGGTGTCGACGATGGAAGCACTGAAGGAGAGGTTTAGGGAGGAGTACCGCAAGGCAAGAACTTCGCGTTCAGCACGAACTCGCCGTTGTTTCATTGTGTAGTTTTCCTTGCGAACGAAGAAACTCGTTGTGGACTTCTGCCCCAAAAGCCTACACATCGCCGTGCAGCACGGATTCTGCTATTATTGACGTCCACAAGCCAAATACAACTTCCACGTCCTCGGTTATGAAGCTCCGTCCCTGAGAGATTAACACGATTGCGTGGTTGGCCTGCCTTCCGTCCAAATATCACGGCCGAATGCTCTCATCAGGCATGGAACCAGCCTTCGACGAGGCAGGTCCTGGCGTCCTGCCAGCACATCATGATGTGGGGCCAGGGCGAATGCCGCAGCGGGTACGGAAGGAGAGGACATGCGGCGGTCTCTTCGTGGGCTGGCAGGAGACTGCTGCGTGCGGCGAAAGAGGTGCGTGCTGTGGAGGCTTTTATCTTCATCGGACCTATGTAGTGAGGCAACAAAAACGTGAACGCTTCCAGTTGAAAAGAAGGGCTCATCCGACACGAGCCCGCGCAAGTTGGGCACCCAGATACAAGAGGGGCCATGCCACACCCTCCAACTATCTCTATCTTCCCCCGCCATCACGACGCCGTCTACCAACATCGGCGGTGCATTCGACCCTCGTGGTGTCCGTGCGTCGCAGGTGTTCTATGAATACCAAAGGCAGCTTTGGGATCCGTTGTGGGGCTGCCCGTTTCAGGTGCGTGTGCTGACTGAAGCATAGTCTCCTTCACGGCCCTTTTCCGGTTTCGTGAAATCGTTGTCAGTATCCGTTGTCACCGTCTTTTTCCGCGCCGTTACCCTCACCGAATGAAGAAGTCGCCGCTCCTGTCCAAGGTCGTAGTCTAGTGGTGTATCACCTTTCGTTACAAGTGGCTGCTGTGACAGAAGCTCCGCACCTGACCTTCAAAAACGTGCTCGCCGTAGATAGCCCATATCGCCCTGCCTCGCTCACATCACAGTGCGTATGGGAAAGAGAGTGTCGGAGCTGCAAATGCACCGTGAAGAGGGAAAATTGACACTTCGCGGCCGTGCGATACACCACCCCGAGGTCTAGTAAGCGTCCTTTTCTACGGTGCGTAAAGCACACCCGGGTAGCATCGGCGAATCCATCCAAGCCATTCCTCATCTGAAGGGACAACCGTTGCCAAGTACAAACCGTTTCTGATCTCGTGCCGTCCTGGTTCATCGAGGTATTCGAGGTATTTCCCCAATGAAGCCTAAATTCATCTGCCTGATCGATCGGCTCTCCCTGTTTTTTTCCTTCTACCTTCCTTGATGCGCAGCCCTGCTTTGTGATAGTGACTTTGCTACTCGTTACGCCTTCGCCTGGCCTTCACGGCTTCGTTTGTTGTGCATCTGTCGCGCCGTGCTGCCACCTGTATAATCGTGTCGTGTTTTTCTTGAGGTTGGGGACAACGAGTCGTTCTACACGACGTTCCTCGGGGGTACCGTAGGCATCTTGTATCTCGATGCGCTCGAGCTCTCTCCCCAATGGGACTACGGCGGCGGTACCAGTATTGGCAGCAGTGCCACCAGCAAGAAGGGTACCGGTAGTAAAACAGTAAGCTCACTGTCCACTCCGGATTTGGGGGCTACTGCTGAGGGAGGAGCACGAGACACGGGAGAAGGACGAAGATCTTCACGTACAGAGAAACCATCTATTGGGGACTCTCAGTGGCAGCGCTTGAGGAAAACCCTCGAGCAGCAGGTCTGTGTACGCTTCCGTGAGTAAATGACACAACATGAACAAACTTGGCGGTGGAAAATCTGCGATGCCTACTTGAAACTTGTTGCAACACGGTTGGTTGTATGTTAGGGTTAGGTTCGCCCATTCAGTTTCAAAAGAGTCCGTTCTGTTAAGGAAAAGGATGATTTCTATGGGGGGCGCGATTAGGGAGTCCCGGTTTTGATCTTGTTGCTTGCCTAACGTCGGTCGGTATTCCCAGGTGCGACAATGTCGTCCACCACCCCCTCCAACCCCTGTTGCCGCACGTTTCTGCCCACAGGAAGAACTTGTGACACTGATCGTGGTGACAGAAACCCCCATCGCCTGGCATGACACCGAGGCGTTTGTAGCGGAGACAAAGGTAAGTTTGTCTCAGGAATGCGCGGATTTTGATCTCTGAGTAGTGAGTAGTGAGTAGTGAGTAGTGAGCCATCGAAACATCATCCTGGCGAAGGCTGATCATGTTTTGTCCAGGCAGCGACGCTTTCGTTTCGAATGTTCCCTTGCTCGCCTAACGCACGATGCATGTCGCCAGACTTCCGAGGTCGTTTCCATCATATCTTCCGGGGAAATACACCCTGGTCAGCGTCAGACACTACAACAGCGCTTGGAGGAATCTGCTAGCCTCCAGTGCTAGCCAGGCAACGACAAACGAGGCAACGATCCACCTCCTTGCCTGCACGCACACCTCGCTTATCACATCGCTCAACCCTGAAATAAAACACAGGACGCGGGCACCGGTGGCAACGCCAGCGGCAGCGACAAGCCGCCATCGCACCTAGAAGACCACTGGGCCTCGCGGCCCGTCCAACAGCGCGCTCTCCTCTTGCGCCTGCTGCGGTGGAAGGCCGACAACGGAGGCAAGGAAGTCGTCCTCCTCGCCGGGGCCGGGCTCGCCGAAGGCTGCACCGCGGCGGAAACCAGGCTCGAGTACAAGCTGCCCTCTTTGCCGCAGCCGTTGTCGGAGAGGAAGGGGCAGGAGGGAGGGAAGCAGGTGGATGGTGGTGGGCAAGTGGACGAAGAAGACCAGAAACAGGCCCACAAGAGCGCCAAGCGCCGTCTGATTGGAATCGAGCAGGTGAGAGATTTTGTGCCGTTCAAGTGTGGGGTGAGGGGAGTCTTGCGGAAAAGAAACTCGTTTACCAAGGCGCCGGGAAAACAAAGTTTTTGCGATGGAGAGTCTTCTAACATGGCAAAGGAACAAGATCACCGCTGAACTGACTCGGGCAGCTGGGAGCAAAATCTCCATCGATTGAAAAAGGGACTGCAAACCGAAGGTCCAGAGACGAGCACCAGCAACATGACCATACTACATGCCTGACACCGCGAAGTGTATGTCGCCGCATTAATGCCCTGGAAGAAGCCATGAGGGCCACGCCCAAAGAAGCAACGTGTGCTCCCACAACACATACACACACACCCCGTCAATAACACTTTTTGGCATATTTAGGTTACGTGCGGTCCCATCACGGCCGAGCCGACAGCACCGTCGGGAACAACTACCGCTAGGGGAGCGTTGTTCGTGCCCCTCACGGAGGCCGAGAAGGCAGAGAAACGCCTCGTGAAGGCCAACAGCTACAAGAACAACAGCAGCGGGGGCAGCAGCAGCGGTGGCAGCAGCAACAAGAACAGCGGTGCTCTGCTGGTTGGGGGTGGAGGAGTGCTCAAAGACGAGGAGCCGGTGACGTTCACGCATCTCAAGACGTGGGGAAGAAACTACGCAGTTTTGCAGGTTAGCAGGGCGCCGTCAATTTTGTCGTTGCGGCTATCGCCACCGCGCGAGGGCTAAGGCTCCAGGAGCGAAGCCGCTACAGTGATTATATTCATTGTAACGAGAGCGAGGTGTTCACCTCAAAGAATTATGTTTGGCGGGTCACGGCAACCTCGGGGGTGATTTTAATGTAGATTTCTGGGTAAACCTCGAACCATCCCTTTCACCGAGGCCGCTACCCACGAGACCCGTTTTGCGTCTATGACAGAGCCCTACAGCGAACAGTCTTACGCGCAAGCAGATATGCTTCGTTGGATGTCTAGCAAGCGGGTTCCACGACAAATCCCACGAAGACACTCTGCATTCCTGATAACCCCGCCTGAATTTTACTCCAGTGCCTGCACACGTTTTACGCCCAATCCCTCGCGGAACATATGCCTGGAGTTTGAGAGTCAGGTTTAAAAGTCAAAGCAGCCCGATGCCAGAATCCCTAGATAAATCAGAGAACATGGTGACCAACACCCATGGCTAGTAGTTCCTTTGTCACTTTCTTATGCATATCATGTCGCCTTTTCCCTTCTGAAGGTGATTGCTGACGAGGACGAGGAGGGACCGATTGGCGTCGTGGACAGCGCATTGGTGACGTCCTTGTCCCTAGACATGAACCATCCTACCAAAGAGCTGGCGCGCCCCCCCGGCTGGTGGTCAAGACGCTGCATCGGTGACAGGTTCGTCCGAGGCAGTTTGGGTTGTAGGCAGGTGCGGGTGCTTCGTTCGCCTCACGCAGAGGGAGCGACGCTGCCTTCACCAACCCCCTGCTTTCAGTCTCCGAAGGGAAACTCGGGTCATTCTACAGCGAGCGTTTGTTGTTGTTCTTGTCAACGGTTTTGTAACTGTCTCACGAAGATCTACTGTAGCAGTAAGGAAGGATGATCTCCGCCAAAGGTTCAATGAGAACAACCGCCAACAGAAGGTTGAGATCGGCATGCCCAACGACGGCTCTGCCCACGCTGAGAGCCGTTGCAATGGGTTGACTATTTTTTCGTCCATGTCTTGCTACCTTCACCTATAGCATGTGTCAGATTTGTACTTGCTGGCACGCTGGTGTTGGTTTTGCCAAGGAAGGCAGTAGTTCCTGGAGGTATCTTAGGTTGCTGTACGTAACCTTCCATACTTTTTTCGAATGCACAGAGCGGTCCTTTTCGATGACGACATCTACCTGAAAGGCCGAGGATTCAAAGCCACGATGGACGCCAGGAATTGGCTTGAGACTAATCAAGATTTCACGCAGGTGTGAGAAGGTGGCGAAGACTAATTTCCGTGGCGGCAACAGCAAGAAACCCTGGGTCGTGCCGCCTTTTGTCTTGCTGTCGAGGAAAATGCCCGTTGGTGCACCAAACACTCTAAGCAACACCATGGGTAGAACAGGTACTGTGGGGTCAGAGCAGCTCACACTGTTATTGAAACCCGCAACACCACAGGCACAACTTCTAGCCCGAACAGCGCTATACACTACACCGCAGCGCCGTCCATCGAATAGAACCCTTCTTAACTTGTTCACACGAAAATTTCGTATGTGATGCCGCCTTCGATTTACTTGATGTAGTGCTTGTTCCGGGGCCGTGTGAACGCCTCAGTCCCAATTCCTTAGATTTGCGACCTAATGCGTTATGTGGATAGTTTGCCAAGCCGAGAGGTTTCCACGTTCGGCCTCGCGGTCAGCTTGGGGTGAACGACACTATCATCTGCGCTCCCTTTGCAGGCTATCCGCAAAAGCTACGACGATTTCCACATCGCTGATTGCGGCCGTCCGGTAGAGCTACGCACGATCAGGGTGGAGAAGGCCGCGGTATTGAAGCGGCATGTCGAGGATGGTATCAGGCGAGTGAATTCAAACCAGGCAATGGCATGTGTCCCAACGCTTCCAGCCTTTAAGCAATGCCTGGTAGGTTTTGTGTCCTTTGAGACTTGCTTCTCGTTCGCACGTTGAGTTCAGTGACGATAGTGCTGCTATTAGGAAGGTTGGTCCGTTCTCGGTGTAGAACAACCCATTCATCCGCAGACGGGGAGACGTTGACAACGGATAGATCCTTAACCGTCGATATTGACCGTGGACACTCTCTCTACGCCAAGGGAAAAATACTGCGTACGAACGCCATGAGCAGAGCGCGATCTGAACTCGCTATTGTAAGAGGCAAGACATATTTTGAGCTGTTTCCTTTCGACACGGCTTGTTATCGCACGTCATTGGGCCCTACGTTCTTGATCAACCTTTGGCATGCAGGGAACCAAAGACGGGTTATCCTGCATGCATTCGTGTTTCGGAAGTCTAGGCAACTGGACGATCTGATCTCCGTTCGGTTGTTCCCGCCGCCACCCCCCTGCCGTACGAAAACAAATCAAACAACACCATCAATTAGGGCTGTTTTCCGAACTCTACCGGCGGAAGTGGCTGACGAGCTGGCCTACGTTCACGACCAAATGATCCTCGACTTCCTGATGATTAAGGTGCAATGAGATGTAGATGTGAAAAGAAGCAACACCTCAGTGGAAGCAACGATCTGGCCCGTACCTTGGCAGTTGTGTACCTCAACCGTGAGCAGTTCACCGTAAACGGTGCTTGTGCGCCTGACCTCCGCTTGGGCCGTCGACTCTGTGTCGGGGATCCCACAACGGGGAAGTTGCTGTGAGGCTTCATTCACGTGATGAGGTGGCATAGGCGTTGATGATCGTTTTCTTGCGCCCGGTGTCGTGCTTCGTTCCACCGTTGAGGAATCGGGCGTCACAATCTGATGCCCCGACTGTCGAGGATTCATACGCCACAACACAGGCACGAAACATTGTACTGCTGCGTGTCATAGGCGGTACAGTGTTTGGCCCTAGAAGAGGACTGTACGCCACATCAGCACCACGAATGAGGCCTAAACATTGCCCCAGGTGGTTTCGTTACGCAGCCCCGTAAAAAAAAACTCCTTCGAGGTGACATTTGTGGCGTATAATGTTTCGTGTTGGGGGTATTTCGGAGCCATCGACGTGAGCACCTTCGTCCCGCTACACGAGAAAACTCTCACCTGCACCCCGAGCCCCCTTTCCGACAGCCCCTACATAACCCGTGATCGTGTGCACCCTTTTTGGTCTGCCTTTCTACGACAAAGGCGTGTCCGGAAGTGAAGGCGTCGGCTCTGGACACAGCGGAGAAATGGGAAGAGGTCTGCCGACAGATTTGCATCCAAGCGGCATATATTCGGGTGGCCGCGTTGTGGGCAGAAGAGGTAAAACAAAGAAGTAGCTAAAACACGATCAAAGGGCACCAGTCTCGAGCTGATTCGCAAGTTATGATTCCGGTAGTGCAGGAAATTCCACGCAACCAGAAGGTAGTACAATGGTGAAGGTATCGAGGACGTGCGCTCTGCCCCGGTCCTAGTTGTATCAAGGGAAAATAGTAGAAGTATTTCATAGTCGGAAGGCCCATGCTTTAGGTTAGGATTCTTCGGTGCCTGCGTATCGTCAGGCGTAGGTGGAAGGCTGTAGTATCCTTGTGCATATTCTCGACTACTTGTGTTGGTGTTCGCTTTAACAACGTAGTAATTGACTATGTATGAACATCAATTCCTTGGTCATCCATCGTCTGCGTGCTGGATTTGCTTGGAAGCGGGAATCTTCGTGTCCACAAGCTCAACGTTGACAAAATCGATGAAAACTGCTTTAATCAGGCCCTGACTGCGTATTGACTAAGGCACAGTTGAGTGAAACGTTAGCCACAGGGTTATTGATGATGTGCCACTCCTTGTACACCTTTTCACGCAAGTGGTGTTCACGAAGGCATGAAAAATTGGTCAATACTAGAGACGGGGTTTGCAGTCAATGCTTCGTTCGGTCTCGATTTTCAGGAAGAGGAGGTCGTATTGATGGCGGACGCCCGTGCCGAGGAGGGAGTGCGTAAGGCGGAAGCGAAGCTGAGAAAACAGCGTGAGCAGGAGGTCAAAGACGCCGAAAAAGATGCCGCTGAGATGGCCCACCTCATGGCGAATGACCCCGAGGTGCGTTTTGTTCACACCCCTGCCTTCAATCCCGTGCCCCCCTTACCTATCGTTGTTTCGAACACGTTCCCCTTTCCCAAACAATAGCAAGGAATCGTAATCGGGAGACAGGGTCCCACGAACGCTTCAGGTGTTTCGCGGTATTTGTGGTGTGTGGTGGAAAACATCCCTTTCGCTTGTTTGGCGCCCCACATCGCAACCATCAACGCCTCAACCTTCTTTCGACCTACCTGCCTCCACGATGCTTCTGTCATTGCCTTGATGATGGCGATGACGACGACAACGACCACGACCACAACCCAAAGGCTCACATGAGGAGAGTCGTCCAAAAGCGAGCTGACGACGCGGACAGGCGAAGGCGCGAGGCTAAGGCCAAGGACGAGGATCAGTCGGTGGCCAACGAGGAGCGCAAGACCCTTGAGAACAAGAAGGCCATGGACAAGGAGAGGCTTGCGAAAGAGGCTAAGGTGTGGATGCAGCGTTTGTGGTACTCAATTGACCGGCAAGAAACGTGACTCGCAACAATTCAGTTTGGTCAGCATTCGTGCAAGTCGTATCCATCCTATGTTCGCTTGGCGGGAAGGGTCCTTCAACACGCTCCTAGTAGCGAAGACCCCTTGACTCTTTGGCGGCGGTTGGGATGCCATGCACAGATCTCGTTCAAGCACCTTGTTTTTGTTCTCTAATTTCAAACGTTGGTTGACCTGCGTGAGGAAACGGGTCGGGCGGCGCGCTCCTCGCCCACGCCCTTCCTGGCAATGGCTCCGACAGATATGACAACGATATGAGGAAATAAATGTTTACACCAGCTATGTTCCACAATGCGAGGCAAACATGGCTTCTGCCTTACTGATCCTCCACGCCAGGAAAAGGAGGCAAGAGAACAGCAAGAGCTGAATGAGCTAGCGGACTCGGACCCAGCCGAGTACGACCGGCGGATCAAGGAGTGGCACAAGAGAAAGATCGAGGGGAGGGATGGGACTTCGAGCAGCCTGGGCGGCGACGCAGTGGACCATACAGAGAGCGGCGACCTGGAGCGAAGGAAATCGCTGGCGCGGGAGAGAAGGTCGGCAAGGTAACGCGGCATCAAGCAGTGTACCCAGGACTATTTTTCTCGCCTGGCGTTTTTACGTGTGTCATGACTTCGCAGATTTTCTGGTTATGAACTTCGTTTGTATAGTTGAGACCCAACCAAACGTATTGCTCGACAGAATGTGCTGGACGCACACGCGCAAACAGCAGGATATCTCGTTCAGCGAACAGTGAACCCGAATTCGCGTAGTGGTGAAAATTGTCACAGGAATGAATAACCGCTACAAACACTGAGAATGGATTTGTGATCTGGCTCCTCGGCAGCGCACGTCGTCACTGAACAAGTTCGTCTCAAAGAAAAAAACAACACAACACGTTCGAAACACCCACCACACATCACAAGCACCGGTGCCCTCGTCCGCGTCGACAAAGCACTTTTTTCGGCCCTTGTTTCGTTCGTGACATGTTCGTGTGGAACCGCGGTTCAACATTGTGGTTCGCCCAGGAGGGTCGCGATGCAGACGCGACCGTCGATCGGTATTCCCAAGAAGTAGCTTGCGCAACAGAGAGGAACGCGACGACGGTGGTAGTCGAGGTCTGAGTTGTAGCACGTGGGTCGGGAATTTGTTGAGGGAGACTGAATCGCGATGCATTTCTGTCTTCACCATATCCCGATGGCTACATACCTAACAACTGCCTTTGAGGGTGTCACTATCACCAGAATCCCAACGCGTTGCATGTATCATGGCCTTGATTTGCACCCGTGGGTGCCGTGATGTGTGGTAGGCGTCCGTGTGACAAACCCAGGCATGGGGGGGGTGATTTTGTATTCGCTCGTTGTATTGGGAATTTTTCAGTCAATTAAGCTCGACTAGGTACTTGCTCCACGCGACGAGGATGGATGCGGAATTGGAACGATAATAGCATATAAATATATATTATGGGGGTGTTTGATTTAATTAATTGTTTTTGGGTTTGGGGAGTACATATAATCAGCGACGTGTGTGTTTAAAACAAACGTGTTTTCCGGCAGAGTAACCATTGCCACCAGCACCGAGCTCGCCGGTGGTATTGTTCAATGTGTTCTTTTTGTCCACCCGCCGCATTCATCTTTGTGGTCTGTCAGGGACTCTTCCTATTTACGCGGTTTCACGCCGTCTGATTGGTCGGATGTTGGTTCCTAGGCCTGAACCTGCCCCCTCTATAATAGCCGTTCTACATTCCGAGAACACGGCGCAGGCGCGTTCTCGCCCAGCTCGCGGCCGCTATAGGCCGTGTGTTAGCCGTGGGTAGGGGTTAGGGTTAGGGTTGGGTTGGGGCGAGGGACCTAGCCTTGCTTGCGTGGGAAACCTAGCCTTGCTGTGTAGGTTCAACATCGGTTAGACCTAAAGAGTCTCTAACAGACAGTAGACAGACCTCGCGTCGTCAACCATGTTGGAAGTTGTAGATTGACATGCCGCTGGCAGACAGAGTGAATAGGTGCGAATTGGTCGGCAAGTTTGAGCCCGAAACGACAGACAACCAACTTTACCTCATAGTTTCGTGTACTGGGGGCGGATACGAAGAGTAGGTCATTCGTCCGTGCTGGTAATCGAAGGCGAAGGGGGGGGATTGTGCGGGATTGGTCTGCATTCGTTCTTCATCTGAGTTGGATGAGGGGTTGGCAGAAAATGATACGAAAAATGCCCCGAGCCGACAATAGCGTGCCTGCGCGCCCTGTTTCATCGCGTAGGAGTCCGTTTGGAATATTTTAGTAGGCGACCTCGAATAAACCTACAGGGTGATAGTTTTTCCGTTTCTAATTTGTTGTTGAGAATTGATTGGCAGGGGCGGCGACGAGCGGGGGCGTTAGGGGGCGGGATGCTCAACCAACGGTTAATTCATCAGCGAGGGTCTCTGGCTTCGTGAACCCACACTGCTCTTCTTGATCCTAAATGTATTACAACCAGGACAGGGGGGTTGGGATTGCGACCTCAAGGTGTAGTGACTTGTTTGGGAGAGGGGGGGAGCTCGCGCGAAGGGAGGAAATGAAAAGTGTATATCAGTGATGTATCGTTCCAAAACGCAACGCGGGTGGGTGTGCTGTCCTCTTTGTCCAAGTCGACCGCGTTGATCGACGGCACACGTTTTGCTTGGTGTTGATGGCATCGTGCGACAATAATCACGAACTACGTCAAAAAGTGTTGTTGTGAAGTAAGTCTATACAAACATGCATGTGTGGTTTCTCAGAGAGGGAAACCCCCGGCGGGAGGAGTCCAGAATTCTGCGTCGATTACATCTACTAGATCGATCCAATGGACACCTCATACATATCCTCAAGTATGCCTGCAGGATGTTCTGCTGAGAACGCTGGTGGCGAAAAATGCGGGAGACAAAATTTCGGTTCTCAGAGATGATGTATCGGTTGTGTACGATGAGGTGGTATGTGAGCAGATGTCCAAGATGTGTCGAATGATCAATGTGTAATGTGTCATCAGTGATCTGTCGGTTGATATGTGAAATCCCCCGACGTGGGGGGGGGGGGGGGGGCTTTTCATCCCCCCGGGGTACACCCCGAAGAAAATTGGAACAC